GATCAAGATATGACTGATAACATTGAAAAGCTGTTGACCACATACCATAACAAACCCTTACCGGGTTGAATTTACCGCTTCGGGAACTACGGGGGCTGGACAAAGGCCATGCAAACCATTAAGCGGACATAAGTGAACAACACGGCCAAACTGGGCGCGATAGGCGACCACATCGCCCATGAAAGGCCAAACTTCGGTGAAGCGGAGGACGAGTCTCTGAAAGCCACCATCGAGGAGCGAATCATCGTAGTTTGGAAGATGAAAAGAAGACCCGGCTAGAAGCGGCATCCTCCTTCGAGACCAGCGATCCCAGGTCAGCCGTGTCGCGAGAAACCGTTGATCGAGTCCTCCACCAAGACACCACGTTAGCTGACAGGATTAGGATCCTGTTCCGAGCAAAGGGATCACCATCGCCAGCATTCTGACGCATTGGGGTTCATCATATCAACCCTGGTAGTGTCATTGGTGGGGTACCCCACACCCCAAGTGGCGGCACACCACCAAGTGGTGGGAACTGGATAAAAACTTCGGGGAGGCCCTGGCTAAACTGGCTGGTAAGGCTGCCGAAGCCCTGCCCTGCCTGGCATCCTGGGTAGCATCGTCCTCGTGGTTGTTGGGCTCTGGCTAAAACTGCCACGTGGCTCAGTCAAAACCTGTGGGCAGCCATCGTCGCGTGCGTGGTGGGTCTGGTTAATGCGTAGCGGCTAAGGAATTTTTAACCAAATAAGCCCCAAAGCTACCCCACCAACCACCAGGGCTGTTTTGTACGATCGATGTGCTGTGAACCCACAGTGGGTGACCCCACAGGGGTGTGTGTTGAACCCTAGGCTCGGGGGTGGCTACTATACCCGTTTCACCGATTCGTGGGTGGTGGGGCGTGGGGGGGCGTTGACATCGAGGTTGGCGTAACTTTTGACCGCCCGTGGCTATGACTATTTCGTTGTTGTAGCCCACCACTTTTTACTCTCAGTTGCATATCGCTTTCCGGAGCCATGCTTACAACCCCTACGTCGAAGGCGTAGTCGACTTTCGACCTGGCATATTCCAACACGTTTTGGCAGCGTTTGATGGCTTTCGGGAGATCAACTGGAGCATTGATAGCATCCTCAGCGTTGACAACGAACTGTTTCTGGCGTCGTAAGCAGTCCCCTTACCGAGGATATTGGAGCAGCGTTTGCGTCTGCGCGCAACAGCGCCACCGCGTGCGTTCGGTCGAGTCGTTTAACCTGATTACCCGGCGCGAGTAAACCCTTTCGATGTGTCCAGCATGAACTTTTCCAGTCATCCGCTGCCCCTGCTCAAACCTCCAGACTCTGTAATCCTTGCTGTTGTCGAAAGCCATGTAACGGTCATCCCACTTTCGTTGGTTGTGAGGTGATGATACGACTCGTAATCCCATTCTTTCAACTTCGCTGGCTTCCACGAGGGGCATATTGTGAGCGATGGGGATACCCAACCCATGGTTCGGGTCGCAAGCGCCAATCCGTCTTCGTGTTTAGTTGAATTCGTTGCAAATCGTTCGTAGGCCCGTCTATCGTATTGGTTGTTTACTGCATTCACGCCTTTTCCTGTGGGAATGCGCTGATCTCTTTGAGGATCGCCTGACCTGGTAGTACCGTGAAAGCGTGAACACAGACTGACTCAGCGATCCACGCCGAGTGTCGGTCAATGTCACACCACACCCCGTTGTAGCGCACCACACGGCGAAGTTGAGTTGATTCTGCCAGAACTGCATCGGTTTGTTGAACCAGCGTGAACTACCTTAGAGTTAGTCACGAAAACTTATACTTATCAAACACATCTATGAACTGGGCGAAATACAACCCGGCAGCGACCACGATCTTCATGTGGGGAAATCTCGTCCAGTTTAGGTAAAAACACTCCAGGGAGTACATTTTAAAACTATTATATAATGAGTATATATACTCTAACATGTACATAACACTTCCAGGAATAGCGGCGGTGAGGCCGTTCAGCTGGCGCCGCGATCGATAACACTCGTCGGGTCAACTTCGAAGTAGCTATGCGATATAACCTACCTACGCGATGGACTAACATCAAGCTAGCAACAATAAACTGTTCGTAGGTGGTGCTGCAACCAGATAACTCGCCGGCTACTACAGCGTGTGTTCTCTAGCGGCGAGGTCTTCAAACCCCTAGGAGCCGAACTCAAGATGAGCGACTCAAAAGCGGCACAGTGGTGTTAATCAACAACGGGAGAAACTCCTTGAGACTTGGCCGACCATTGGCGAGGACACTTTCGGTATGCAGCCTGATGAGATAAAACCAGCGACTACCACCACAGGCACTAAGTTACCCGACCTAGTACCGTGTCGAGAGCTGTGCATTCATCTCAGCCAGGTTAGCACAACTGACAACATTCAAGGGGTCACCCTTCCACTATACTGAGAGCTGTACCGGTGAAAGCGGAGAAATACAACGGCGGTAGAACTGAATCGTTTTCACCTGCGGCGGTATAAGAGGTTAACCCAGGGCAACATCCCCTGAGCTGATAATATCGATGTTAGATATAAATCATAGTCCGTGAATATAGGATACCTTAGCATAGCGCTGCACATAAAATGACCAGCGCACAAGGTCGGAATGAAGTTGAAAAAATGCATCAATGTGGGGATCTCCGACCTCGGGGACACAGCGGATTCGACGACCCGGGTAGATGGTAAATTATGCGCTTGCAACTGAAAACAGCATTTACAAAAGCGTTGAAGTCCCCTCCGGTGGTACTAGCAACCTAAGTGATATAGTAGATACCACAAAGGCGGCAATCAACACTAAATACACCCTTGTCAACACCGGCGATAACTGGATAATATACCCATCGTTCGAGGCAAACTGTTCGACTTAACGATGTTGAGAGCAGCGTGGCGGCTATCACCAAAAATAAGCCATATACTTTCGTCTTCACCGATGATGACAAGTGGGTGTTATTACCCGATAAAGCCGACTGGTTTCTCAATATTAAGCTCGGCTCCCCATGCGTGTTCACGGATAATAAAGACAACCACCTAAACAAAAGTAAGTGAACAACGGAACCCTGCTCGTGGCTTACATCCCGACTCAGAGGCGTGGCGTAGTCATCAGCCCACTTCGCCAGTATGGCAGCCCACATGCTATCGGGTAAACCGGGATGCAAAGCGTGGTATTACAGTTGGTGTCTGAATCGAAGGCGTGGTCAAGATCCTAGAAGAGTCTACCGGGCGAACTCAACACTTATCATCCAAGTCTACCTAGGGGAACCATCGGCGGGATGATGTCGAAATCGTAAGGGGTCAAACTCGGTGGGGAAACAACAACAGTATCCGCGTTTGCAGCGTTTACGTCGCGGTGGAGTGTCGACTCAAAACCAGTCTGCAGGGTGTCACCGTGATCGTGGAAGACACGATATCACTAACCAAGATCTTCCTACCCGACAACATACACTTCATGGGGGTGAAGTGCACCCTGAACTATTATCAGAAAACCAGTTGGAAATTATATCGTAATAGTATTATAGCAATGTCTTGGGCCGTCCCAACACTACACTTAGCGATCTAGGGGACGCGGAGGGATTCGACCAGCCTGGTGAGAACACCTTATACATCCTGCACTTGAAAGACAACGTGTATAGGCGGTGTCGTTATCAGATTTTAAAGAGCCTGAATGGTTACTAAACTTAACTCTCACCGCACCTTATATCTCCTGAAACAAAATAATACTATCTCCGAGATTAGGAACAACGGCATGATTATAGGATCGTTAAGTTCGAATCTAGTATACAAGTCATACCAATACCAGGCCACTTTCGGGCAACATGTTAGCTTCCAGTGGGAGGGTAAAGACAGAGATAAAATACTTTCGATCACCAAGAGGTCTTTAGAAATGTCGCGGAAAACTTCACATTCATCATAGGCGTCTATCTCGGAGATGTAAGTTTGACTCGCGAGTTATATTAACATTATAGATGATATGATGATAGGTTGGGAAGCCAGGTGTAATAACCAACGTTGTTGTATTATTAAGGTATCGGGGAAACGACCCTGTACCAACCCTTGATGGGGTTCGTCTCTTTAATGGCCGTGAGCTAAGACCCCGCTTTTTACATACGTTAATCTAAGTATTATCGGCTTTAAGTACGTGTCGAAGGTTAAATACAACCCAATTAAAATATATTATGGGATTGAGCTATATCCCTGAACTAGTACCAGAACGCTAGATAGGCTATTAACTGAAACCCAATTAAAATATCTTTTGTAATATATATTATAGGCACACAGGATGGGGCTGTACCCAGTCGAGGAAGTAGCGAAGACCCTGGAAACCGTGAAGCGGGTTCCGGCTTGAGAGCAGTTATGTGATGTAAAAGCGCCAAGCTAGAACAAGACACCGCGACAAAGCGGAAAGCACTATATAAGAAGTACCATAGAGCTTTCAATGCCGTGGGCGGGACTGATACTACCCTTATGGTAGCCAGCATGGGCCTAGGGGTGGCAGGTGTTGGGTTGTTAGCTACCATCGTGGCGCACCTATAGTGATGGGGCTCGAAATAACAGCTGGGGTGACAGGGGTGTTTGGGATGGTGCTTAAGCTTGTATCCCGCAGGCTGCATCGTAAAGCATTGAAGCATAATGAGATCGGGGTTCTAGCTGAAGCAAAGCTTAACACCATAAGCGATCTTATTTCCACCGCACTCACTGACAGTAAGATCTCAGAGGAGGAGTTTCGTTTAGTCCTCTCTGAACTCATAAAAATATCATAGAATGAAACAAGAGATTCGATCCAAGTCTCGTAAGTCTGCTATAAGCGAGGATGAGAAAAAAAAGTACATAGAACAAAAGGGGTGAAAAAAGCCCAGCAAGCCTTTATTACAAACACCAAAGAGATCATAGATGCTTTTCTTTGTTGAGACTAAGTTCTTGAGACAAGCACGTCTGCCAGCATTGGACATTAATACCAGGCACTATCTTTGAAACAGAATATGATACAGTATTTTTGTCTCCTACCCTAGAGAACCTTCTGAGGGATGTCTCAAAACTCTTGAAGTGCCAGTCCATTATGGGGGAGAAAATGTTCTTCATCGTCTCTTCATCAAATGTCTCAATGCCTATAACATTGAAGTGTCGCAGGAAGCGCTGCGTGACGTTGTTCCTGCCACCACCAGGGGGACCCATCGCCGCCAGCATCACAATGTCCACCAACTGCAACACTGACGTATCCTTCCTGCAACAGGGTCATATTTATCCTTGTCTCATTACGATGCTGTTGCTGGATGAAATAAGAACATCTTTTTTTATTATGTGCCACTTCCCAAATTCATGATGGAACACTACGTTATTACTCAAGTCAGTGGAGCAGTGTGATCTGGTCTTCATTCTCAGCTCCCTTTTAAGTATGTGGGAATCAAACACTGACACACACACAGCTCTTTTTAAAAGAAGGGTTTCATTCCATTAGGTCTCATACAAGTGTGAAGTGAGTATGGATAAATCTTGAAGGAGTCTGTTTTCAAATTATTTTGGTGAAAACTCACTAACAGTCAACAACATCTATAAATCTTACAAATCTACAGCTGCTTACAATTCTCAAGAAATGGTGTGTGTGGGCCCATCCATAGATGGAAAGATTACATGGATAGAGGAACAATGCAGTAATAATCTATGTTATGTACCACCATGCAGGGTACATTAAGGATGTCAGGAGCTGAAAAGCTAGGAATAGCATGAGTAATCATTCTACAGCTGACATTTTACAGTATGTAATCAGAATTTGCACCAAGAACAGACCACGGGGAACCCCCACATACTGGTTGTACTACATACCTGTCATACCAGAAGCCATGGTCTATCCATTGTCGCAGGATCTCTATAGGAGGCTGGGCACCATACCTCTCCTTGGCCGGCATGTTCAGGTCATCCACAAACACACACAGCTTCTTGCCCAGGGTCGGTCCATAAACTCCCTTCTTCCTTCTGGAAACAAACATATCAGCACCAGTTGATTGTAACATACTTCCAGCATGTATTATGTTCAGTTCTTGACTTCGGTACCGGGAAACCCCCAACACCACCACATTTCACCCAGTGACCAAATGACCAAGCAATCGATCACATTTTCTCATAATCGAACACAAACGATTTTTGAAGTACTGTTTTTAAACATTTGACGATGGAACATATCTTAGAAGTTGTCAGGGCCTGAAAATGTGTTTAATTCTTAGAAAACTCACTTCACTTACAGAAACCTCATGACTGAATATTTCTTGAAGACACCAGGAAGTTTATGTTCATGATATATTAGTCATCACTTTAAAGTAGCCAGTTGTATCATGTTATACTTATCTGCAATATCAGCCTGAATAGGAAAATCTGAAAAATGTCGCTAACCAATATTTTTCAATGATTGTTTGTTGGTAATGAACCAGTCATCAATTGTGACATATCAACCAATTCCCAACACTAACTTCACCCCAACTGAACCAGCCCCACCCTAACTCTACTTCACTGACCTAACTCCACTTCACTGACCTAACACTGACCTACTTCTTCACTGACCTAACTCTACTGACCTAACTCTACTTCACTGAACTCTACTTCACTGACCTAACTCCACTAATAATAATAAGTCCATTTGTATAGGTAGCTTGTGACTACTTCACTGGTTAACTGAACCAGCCCCACCCTAACTCTACTTCACTGACCTAACTCCACTTCAACCTAACTCCACTTCACTGACCTAACTCCACTTCTAACTCCACTTCACTGCACACTCCACTTCTTCACTGACCTAACTCCACTTCACTGACCTAACTCCTTCACTGACCTAACTCCACTTCACTGACCTAACTCCACTTCACTCCACTTCACTGACCTTACTCCACTTCACTGACCTAACTCCACTTCACTGACTCCACTTCACTGACCTAACTCCACTTCACTGACCTAACTCTACTTCACTGACCTAACTCTACTTCACTGACCTAACTCTACTTCACTGAACTCTACTTCACTGACCTAACAAATAATAATAATAAGTCCATTTGTATAGCGCCCTATATCCAATCACCAAGTGGTTGCTCATGGCACTAACCTTCACTTTACTTCACTTCACTGACCTAACTCCACTCTCATCTCTATGACATCCCAATGGCTGAATGAACACAAAATGTTGACAGGTATTTGTATTTAAAACTACAGTAGGGTTGTAACATCACAGAGAATGGTAGTTGCCATTGCTCACTGATTTGGACAACTTAGGTTTTGGTCAGGCAGCTGTATAGCAATGCAGTGTTGCATAGCAACAGTTTCAGAGCAGCTGTAGTTGCATAGTGTTAATCTTAGCTCCCATTCTGCAGTCCACTAGTACCTCCACAGAATGGATCATTAAGTCCTGATTCTTGTCTTTAACATGGCTCAAGTTCCCTGCCCAGCAATACTACATGTATTAAAGTAACAGGGCCTTGTTCCAGGAGTGATCTCAGCACTAGTATGATAACTACCCCTTATGTTAAAACAGACTTGTAAAAGTCCAACTAAGAAGATCACTTTGTGGAACAGGATCTAGATCCTGTAATAAACACAACGGTGTATCACCACAAATAGTAGATATTCAAGCAAAAAATTAAAACACATGTACCGGTCGAGTTTTGAAAAGATGATATCTTGTGTTTGATTGGCTGATGTCTGAGCAGAGAAGTTGATGTTGTTGATGATGTATTGGTCTTTTGGAAGCTGAAGTAGGAAGTTGTTGGTGATGGCGCTTTTCCCTGTGCCTGTAGGACCGACAAACAGCACAGGCTTGTCCTTGCTGAGGAACCGTTCCAGGAAGTACCGCTGTCGCTCGGTCTCCACCGTGTTGATGATCAGGGCATTAATCTACAAGGGAGATAATCACAATTAGCGGAAAGTCTTTTTGTGTTTCATCTCCTGTTTCATGATCAAATACAGATGCATTTACCTGATATTAGACTTTCAGTCATATTTCAATCTTGATTGCCGAGGTAAATATTACATGTAAACTTAAGATGTCTCATGAAAAATAAAAAATAATATCACCAGTTATATTTTACTGCTTATTATATCAGTTATTTTGGGATTAATATTGTACATGTATAAGCCAATGAGGATAAAATGTTACATCATTAAATAGCCATCACATGAAAACATGTGTGAAATATGATACTCACCAATGTGAATTATAGCTTACCAGTATCTATATAATTCTAACCGAAAATATTTAGTTATGTAGCTAAAAACATTTATACATTTATATCTGAAAAGGAAAGATGATGCTTCATTCTTGAAAACAATATCTTCATTGTTCCTGTGAAGAATGCTGATAAGCTCATATACCAATTGTCACTGTTATGATGAACAGTGGCATATCTTACCTTATTTCCATCATTTTGTTAATTTTCAAAATAATTAATCATAATTATAATCTTTCTACTAAACACAAAACCATGGGATTCTGTGATGACAACGTTACAACAAAACAGGTGTTCCACTAGCTGTGTCTCACACCTGTAATTAAGCACAAGAATGATATTGTATGACTTGACTGTCACAAGCCAGGTACAGGGTTACCTTAACCAAACCGATACACAAGCAGTCTAACCATCTCGTGTTAGAGGGAAGAAATCTAGGATGGCTATGTCATACTGAAGGTTTTCAGGATAAGGCATAAAGCATTGTGGCTCCAAGGGTGGTGACTGAGAAAAGGATGTTTTCATTGCCCACATCACCTTATATAGACAAATAGCTGTACAATTTTAATAAAAAACATTTTCATTCAAGAGTATGACCTAGACACAAATTGTTCTTGAAAACCAATGAACATTTTGAGAGGTCATTTAATGTAATATATGTACAGCGAGATCCACAACAGTATTAGGCCCTCCTGAGTGGGATTCATTACATATACTCTAACATATGAACGGAAAACAAATATTCTTCTTGTTACTTGACTGAAGATATTTACTGTAAGTATTTGTCAAAATATTGTGGAAACTTTTACATTGTAAAACACACTAAAGATATCAAATTTTATAGTTTTAATGTAAGAAATCTTTCAATTTCCTCATATCATATTTTAAAAAGCACATAATTTTGAAAAACATGTGTAATTACTTCACAATTATTGAAAATTTGAATATGTTCTGATCAACAGGTACAAAATTCCTTTAAGACCCAAGGCTATTCTGATAGATCATAATGTTTTAAATATATGCAAATATACAATAATAATAATAATAAATAATATTTTACATATTACCATCCTATATTATTAATGATGATTTACTGATACATGGCATTACCATGTGTAGGACGTCTCAACTATTCTGGTATAGAAACACACATAAAATAGACCTGACGCACAGATGGACGGACGATGGACGCAGACAACGGACCTCCACATTGAGAGAGATACATGCACTAATGGGGTTTATTAACAGGGGAACATATACCTCTCTAGGACAGCAACATGATGGGCGCAGGAGGTTGTTAGTAGCTGAAATGAGCGACTAGCTTACCATGATACGAAGATCTCTATCTCGCTGTCAAAATCAATGTCACATTGAAATGTTAATTGCAACTAGATAAATTCAAATGAATAAAGAAAGTATTAATCTAAAGTGTTAAGTTTGTGATAAAAGTATGACTGATATAAGCATTTTGACTTCAGTGTTTACCAATACATTCTGTTTGGCCAGTCCAAGTATACTACTCAAAACAAGATAAGGACCACCAAAACTCTTTCATGTAACTACAGTTAAATACCATGACAGATTATAATGAACAAGATAGAATTCAGTGGTCCTTTCTGTAGCAGTATATTACAGAGAATTGTGAGACGGAGAAAACTAGGTTGGTTCTGATGCAGAGTTTTGACAAACTCATCCACAATGGTTTATGGTAAACACAAAAGAAAATGACCAATAGAAATGTTAATACAGGATAATGGTACTGCAATGTTTCATGGATTAACACAACATGTCAAATCTCTTGTTTACCTTTCTTGTAGAAAGCATTAGAAATAAGCATGACAGAAGTTGTGAGATTTCATGTTGCAAAATGCTGTGGAGATTGTTACCAGCTGGGGTAGTAGTTTCAGAGAAACATCGGAACTACACGAGAGTTTACTGAGGGCAGCGTGAGGCCCTTGACTACAGGCCCATGATGTCCTCATGTGTTGCACGAGATTAGAAACATCGGAACTACACGAGAGTTTACTGAGGGCAACGTGAGGCCCTTGACTACAGGCCCACGATGTCCTCATGTATTGCACGAGATGAGAAACATCGGAACTACACGAGAGTTTACTGAGGGCAGCATGAGGCCCTTGACTACAGGCCCATGATGTCCTCATGTGTTGCACGAGATTAGAAACATCAGAACTACACGAGAGTTTACTGAGGGCAGCGTGATGCCCTTGACTATAGGCCCACGATGTCCTCATGTGTTGCACAAGATGAGAAACATCGGAACTACACGAGAGTTTACTGAGGGCAGCGTGAGGCCCTTGACTACAGGCCCACGATGTCCTCATGTGTTGCACGAGATTAGAAACATCGGAACTACACGAGAGTTTACTGAGGGCAACGTGAGGCCCTTGACTACAGGCCCACGATGTCCTCATGTGTTGCACGAGATTAGAAACATCAGAACTACACGAGAGTTTACTGAGGGCAACGTGAGGCCCTTGACTACAGGCCCACAATGTCCTCATGTGTTGCACGAGATTAGAAACATCAGAACTACGAGAGTTTACTGAGGGCAGCGTGATGCCCTTGACTATAGGCCCACAATGTCCTCATGTGTTGCCGCGAGATGAGAAACATCGAACTACGAGAACTGAGGGCACGTGAGTTTACAATGAGGGCAGCGTGAGACCCTTGACTGACTACAGGCCCACAATGTCCTCATGTGCACGAGATTTGAACTACAGAGAGTTTACTGAGGGACGGATTAGGAAACATGTGTTGGAAATTAGAAACATCAGAACGAGAGTTTACTGAGGGCAGCGTGAGGCCCTTGACTACAGGCCCACAATGTCCTCATGTATTGCACGAGATGAGAAACATTGGAACTACACGAGAGTTTACTGAGGGCAACGTGAGGCCCTTGACTACAGGCCCACAATGTCCTCATGTGTTGCATGAGATGAGAAACATCGGAACTACACGAGAGTTTACTGAGGGCAACGTGAGGCCCTTGACTACAGGCCCACAATGTCCTCATGTGTTGCACGAGATTAGAAACATCGGAACTACACGAGAGTTTACTGAGGGCAGCGTGAGGCCCTTGACTACAGACCCACAATGTCCTCATGTGTTGCACGAGATTAGAAACATCGGAACTACACGAGAGTTTACTGACGGCAGCGTGAGGCCCTTGACTACAGGCCCACAATGTCCTTATGTATTGCATGAGATGAGAAACAAGTATTTAATGAAAGCGACACGATAATTACAAACTGAAGAAAACCAATAATCCACTTCTGTGTGGGCAGTGTCAGTATTGTAGGTGATAACCTAATCAAAGTGACTGCAAAGTTTATCCACTGGCTTGTTATCCTGAATGTACAGACACCCTTTCAGACTTTATTGTGGTTCTTCCACTGGCTTGTCACGCTCACATGATACAGACACCCTTTTAGACCTGGTTCCAGAAAGCTGCTTACTACACTATAGACACAGATATCATCCCAGACATAGTGTGAAGCCTTCTCCTTGTGGGATCCAGTACTACATGGCTGGGAGGTAGTGTAGCATGACAGACTGAAGGGTTCAGTCACTACACCAATGGTGATTTTCACAACGTAATGATTACATAATTTCTTTCTGAAATAATCTCATCTGAGTGATCACAAATGATTTTGTGATTTGAAAAGAAAGTTAATGATCAATGCATTTCAAATTTTATTAGTAGTTAGTAGTCCAAGAAAATAGAGCTGTTTTAGTGGCAGCTATAGCTACAGAGCAGAAGTTTTGTCAGAGGGTTTTGGAAGTGTGTAAATAGACAAACTATAGCCATTGCAAAGCAAGTGATATTATATGTCTTTTCGGAGCATTTGCATTTTGCTCAAATTACCTTTTTGTTCCGTCAATTCAAAGAATAACATGGAAAAATGACTGGATATTTTAACACATTAATGTTTCCATTTGTCAGAAGCCAACAAAATAACAGTAAAGTGATGCTGGCTGGTTATTTAACCATAGATAAACAGACTATTGTCACAGCTTCATCTGAATGTATTATGTTGTCTACTGATATGTTCACAGCATCCCGGCATATCATGACGGCATTGGGAGTTTCACTCAACTGGGAACTGTATTCAGCTCTTGTTTCTCTTGAAACATAAAGACAACAAACTTCCCCCATACATAACACAAACAAGGTGTGGATGTAATTTTACACAAGACAGCATCATAATAGGAACAATGAAGTAATAATGAAATGATGGATTATATTTTATTTTAAAATGATTTTAGGGGGTTTATTATCATATCTTTAGGTATATTTCTTTAAAAATATATAATATGCAAGTTACAAAATTGATCTCGACTTCAAAATTCTTTCTTGAACAAATAAAATGTTACACATCTGATTAATGACAATTTCTCTGGTATTATGTAGGACACCTCTGAAGAAAATGTGTACAGATGTGTAGAAGGAAGACAACTAACACCTCATTGTTAACACCAGGTACCATAGCAACAGCCGACATACTACCAGATGTATGTTTCATCCCCAAACAACAGAAGGTAAATGTTGGATAAAGGCAAATGAAAGTATTAGTACGACTGTAAGAGTTAAAGATATGAAATGTCAGGGCAGTCTCTTGTATTTTAAAACTTATCACAATCATATAATTGTTCATATTTTCTAAATGAAATAATACAGGACCTTCATATTTCAGAACAACAAAAATAGACAAATTGACATCTGTTATGCGAGACTGTTATCATGTTGCTGGAAGATTATGATCCTCCAGGATTTAGGTGTAAGGATCTTATCCTGCAGAGAGGTCTCGCGTAGTGCACAGTGTAGTCAAGGTGACAAGGTATATTGTGTGCAGACTCTCAGTGGTAAAGGTAAATAACACGCAATCAGCATAGAGAACAAGTTCTTTATTTAAAAGGTATAAATTAAAAACCTGTCATCCTATACATTGCTTGTTATTATTGCATAAGTGCAGCATAATCAGATTTGTGTGATATATGAGCATGTGGGCTTGGAGAACTTAGATCCTACTTCCCTGAAGACAACTATTCTAAACATATCTATACTCTAATTCTGACAATTTTACTTCCTGTCGAACAATATGTAAAAAGTGACATTTTGCTCAAATATATTCAACACGCTGATCATATATGCGTACAGTACACGACTGTCTGCGAGGAATGATTATTTCGAATAAAACATTTAATTCCTCTGTTGGCATGCTGATCATTTGTCAGGGAAGTAGGATGCCAAGGTGCATGCATGGAGAGGATGGAATGATATAATACAGGATGTCTTACCGAATCATCAGAAGCAAACACGCTTTGTGGTTTTGTCTTTGTTAAACAAAAATAACACAAGTCATTAAACAAAGATATTAAACACCCTCTATATTGTTAGGTAAACCATTATTGACTAATTTATTTTCATAGTGCTATATGTATCTACCCATGTAAACTCGATGAAGACTGTTGCAATTACGTACATAAACAGAATAATTATGTCAACTAAGAGACAACTGATGATGAGACGTTCAAAGATTTCACTTATTGAATGGGAGTCAGGTCCTGCATGACACAATACTAAGAACAGGAATATGTAGTTGTAAATAAAATATTAATTTTCATAATTTATATTCTACCAGGATGAGGAAAGAACCTTGTGAAATTTACACCCATACTATTACTATACACTACTCAACTGTTGAAAGGGAAAGTACATAATGTAATCAGAACTAATTAAATATACACTTGCCATATGAGTTTGTGTATGATGGAAATATGAAAATATCCCTAAGATAACTGGAGTTATCAACCAGATTTATTGCCAACACAGATATTGACAGAAAATATAATCTTACTACATGTAATACAATGTTCTCACACAAAGAATATCAGAGGAGAGTCTTGTTGCTCTTATAAGATTCCTAATGGCCAGTCAATATTTTAAATTGATGCAGTCAAGGGGTGAATTAAATTCTGGCAGGGTAGAACCCAGCGGTATGTTTAGCTGGATATGGCAACACCCAGATGTGCTTTGAGGCATTGGGTAACTAGAAGAATTAACGTGACATTGAGTATATACCTCAGGATGAAATGATTGTTTGCTACAATGTAATACCTTAGCAAGGAAATAATTTACAATGTATAAAACTAAGGATGAAATGATAGACTGTTTACAACAATCCATAGATATTTACATGAAATGACTGACTGTTCATTAAAATGCATATCTCTCAGGATGATTGACTGTTTATTAATTGATCTCTCAAGATGAGAAACTGTATATTACAATGCATATCTCTCAGGATGAAATAATTGACTCTCAACTAAAATGCATAAGACATATCTCTCAAGATGAGACGATTAACTGTTTATTACAATGCATATTTCTCTGGATGAAATGATTTGACTGATTATTACAATGCACTGTTTATTACAATGCATATCTCTCAAGATGAGATGCTCGATTGTTTATTACAATACATATTTCTCTGGATGAAATGATTGACTGTTTATTACAATGCATATCTCTCAAGATGAAATGATTGACTGTTTATTACAATGCATATTTCTCAAGATGAAATGATTGACTGTTTACTACAATGCATACGACATACAAGTTAAGATATTGACATTCTAGCTAAGACACTGACATGCACACAAATGCCCACAGGTACATTGTCACAAAACACACATGCAGTTTTTGTACATGTTAGCCCATCACCTTTTGTTGAACAAATTAATTAAATATTGTAAATGCAAACATAAAAATAGTTGTTTCCTTTTTGATTTAAGAAAAAGCCCATCACCTTTACTTGATGACACTAAGAGAATAAAATGTTTATTTATTTTCAGTTAGTACTTCTTGCTAAAGTTGATAATTAACCTACATCAATTCATTCTGACCAACACTTTATATTGCAGACACATTGCCAACAAACACATAGGACATATCTTTGAATCCCCTTCCCTGGAGACACATCATATAGCTTCACATTCACAGGTAGACATTGTACAATTATTAACTACAATAAACAGTATTTTCACTCTAGTGTTGGTATTTTTATCTGCCAAGAGTTGTTATTGTCACAACCTAATTTGAATGGTCATTGCTACATAATATTAATTTGTTTAATGTCAGCTAGTTGTTACACAAACATGATCACATTGAGTGATCTTTGCTTACCGTGGTAACTTCCTCCTAGCAAGGGAGCAATAACAGGTTATATTGACATGAAGAACACAACTGTGGTGAAGAAGAGCACAAATACCCTGCAGCTCGTCTACCTCAAAAACCTTCCTCATGTTTCTACTATAACACTCTGAAATACCAATAGAGGATGGCCTCCAGTGAAGACAAATTATGGATTAAGCCAAAAATAATATAAAAAGCTAAAACTGTTTTGAAATGATCTTACCCATTGTTATATTAAAAAGAAACTGCATAAAATTAGTTAAAGAACACCTGATTTGTTTTATATCAACCAGATTAATATGAAAGAATTTCATGTATTTTTTCAACTTCTTTTCAGGTGTATTTTTTATAAAAACTATAATCCTTCTTTGGGTTGTTGGTTTTGTTGAGTACAATTTACAGCATATTATGGCAGCCTGGCTATGAAACCAGATCAGCAAATGATTCATAGTTTGAGCAAAGTCTCACTGTGTCAGTAAAATACACAATAAAACAGGCTTATTATCCACTGCCTCTTGTGACAAGCACAGGTTGGTGGAGACCCATTTCAACCCTAAATAACACAGGCTGCTGGAGACCCATTTCAACCATAGATAGCACAGGTTGCTGGAGACCCATTTCAACCCTAAATAACACAGGCTGCTGGAGACCCATTTCAACCATAGATAGCACAGGCTGCTGGAGACCCATTTCAACCCTTCATAGCACAGGTTGCTGGAGACCCATTTCAACCCTTCATAGCACAGGCTGCTGGAGACCCATTTCAACCCTTCATAGCACAGGTTGCTGGAGACCCATTTCAACCCTAGATAGCACAGGTTGCTGGAGACCCATTTCAACCCTTCTTCATAGCACAGGCTGCTGGAGACCCATTTCAACCCTTCATAGCACAGGCTGCTGGAGACCCATTTCAACCCTAGATAGCACAGGCTGCTGGAGACCCATTTCAACCCTTCATAGCACAGGTTGCTGGAGACCCATTTCAACCCTAGATAACACAGGTTGCTGGAGACCCATTTCAACCCTTCATAGCACAGGCTGCTGGAGACCCATTTCAACCCTTCATAGCACAGGTTGCTGGAGACCCATTTCAACCCTTCATAGCACAGGTTGCTGGAGACCCATTTCAACCCTTCATAGCATAGGTTGCTGGAGACCCATTTCAACCCTTCATAGCACAGGTTGCTGGAGACCCATTTCAACCCTTCATAGCATAGGTTGCTGGAGACCCATTTCAACCCTTCATAGCATAGGTTGCTGGAGACCCATTTCAACCCTTCATAGCACAGGCTGCTGGAGACCCATTTCAACCCTTCATAGCACAGGCTGCTGGAGACCCATTTCAACCCTTCATAGCATAGGTTGCTGGAGACCCATTTCACCCCTTCATAGCACAGGCTGCTGGAGACCCATTTCAACCCTTCATAGCACAGGTTGATGGAGACCCATTTCAACCCTTCATAGCACAGGCTGCTGGAGACCCATTTCAACCCTTATCTTATTCAACCACACAGTACCTATAGGCATGATCTGATATACGGATCAAGTGGTTTTGTTGAACAAACTATGCATTTATAATGGGTACAAGAAAATACTAGCAACAGCAGCAAGCATAGTCTGACAACGGCACGTGTTGGTCATCATGCAAGTTCACTTTTATCCACTTGCAAAATTGACATGACATGCAGAGATTTAACAACATGGCGATACTACAGCTTTGTATGATTCTTGTAAACAATGTGTACCTTAACATGCTCAGCATGCAAACATTTGATGTTTACAGTCAGACATGCCTCTAGTCTCTTATCACTGATACATTTCTGGCTATTTAACTATGACCTTTAAACAAATTTGATTTTTGGTAGGTTTTTAGGTTTTGAATTCATATGGGTTTTTTTTGTTAAGATTTATATGAAAATGACAGAAATAATTATACAAACATCAAGGGTACAATAATCAACAGGACGGACAGACACACAATACAACACAAACAATGGCAGCAAACTACAGGTCTCAGCTGAACAGAAGATGAACTGAACTGTTATTGAACTAAACTATGAAGTCATGTAAACAATTTCAGCAAAAATGATGCATATCCCGATATTATCTATCATTTCCTCATATACCATTTACTTTTAGACAAGAAAACATACAGGAGAACACAGAATTATACTTTCACTGCCAAGCTGAGCCACAGTTATCTCCCCTGACTAGCACATCTACTGGCCACCAGGACAAGACACAGATTACACACAACATGGTTACCTGAATTTCCTGCAGGCAAAAGCAAAGTGAAGTCTTTAGTCAATTTATGAAAGAAAACACTCTTAATTGGACAGTCTTCTCAAAGACAAAAGTGTCCAGAACACTACTTTGAGATGTGTTAAAAGTCAATGAAATGAAAACAGGTCATGTGTGCGTCACTTTGGCCTTTGTCCACACACATTTTTAATTTTTGTACCGGTACACTGTGTGATATAACACTCACTCACTCACTCACACTCGACCGATCAATCAATCATCTTCATTACCATGATCTATCAGCACCAACAGCATAATGTCATCTTTGCCATGAAGGATTTCATTGAATGTTTGAATGTCAGTATTGCTGCCGATACACAGATACTTCTTTCAGTGTAGGTGGGGTGTATATCACTGATGTATAGCATATACTGGAGTTATGAGGCATGACTGACTAATGCATGGAAGTATGCATGAGGGGCAAGGACTGGGGACTGAACCTGTCTGGATGATAATCAAGATCATATAATGCCTGACAGAATACAAGATCAGTTGACACAACAGAATTTTAAGTCGGAAATATCTTTATTCACAAAAGAATCTTTAAATACTCTGGAACTTAAATACCATTTGACTAGGGGGTCATAAATTTTGTATGTAAAAATATGTTTAAAATTACGCTTAGAAATTGTGGGAAGGGGAGGGGGGTCATTGATTTTGTACATGACATGCAAGGGGGGTAACTTATTTTGTACATATATTCTAGGGGGCATTCACATTGTACATGCTTCTCCGTAAAAATCATCATCACCCCACCCCCACCCCATCCATAAATTATGAATGGTCCCTAACAATGACAAAAATAAGTTTTTCACTACATGGAAATCAATAACATTATGTGTGAGATAGGCAATGTTTATGCACAAGCATCAGCTAAATGGATTTGTTAGAAACACACTCAAAAAGCAAGTTTTATAAAAGTGAGAACATTATGCATACTTGCATGATCTCTCTACCTACAACCTTTCCTGATAGAACTATTCAGATAATTCCTCAAGATAGATATCCAGTAACAGAAGTAATACCTACTGACCATTAATACAAGTAAAGAAGTCTAGGATCACACAACACACCCACTCTGACATGCTGACTATAGTGTAGATAGTGTATACGTGCAATGCAAACTCATGCGTGAAGAGGACGTGTTTCACTTGTACTGCATAACAGGGGGAAGGCTGCATATTGACCTGAAAAATCCCTGTCATATTTCACACCCGAGAAGCTGACAGTAGATATCAATTTCAAAAACAACTGGAAATAGATTTGTATTGTTAATGAAAACAGCTGATTTGTCGAAATACTTCACTTTCCAAAAACTGAATTTTATATTTCTTCAGTAAAGAGTCCACTTGAATTTTTATACAAAAGCAACAAAATATCATAGGAAATGTCCGTTATAGTAGAATTCATTGTATGGTACAAGCAGAGCTATGAACACACTGGTAGACACAGTGTCCAAAAGACATTATTTCCTGCCTGTTCTATACTGGATGGAACAGCCTCTCTATTAATGCAGTCAAGCTAGGGAGGTCATTGTGCATCTTAGTATCAGTAAATTCATTTATCAATACCACTCAATATCAATATTCAATTAATAATTCAATGCCTAGTTCATAATTTGATTTAAATCGCAGGTAATTTTTATCGATATGCATACAGAATAATTAGTAATTAAGTTATACATGAATATCAATATTAATATTTGTGATCAATGACATCCCTAGTAGCAACACTCCTTGAAACGGGTCTGACATCCCACACACGTCCACTACACCACTCTCACTTCACACCACATGCTGTATGGCCAGAGTCAGTTGTCTACCTTTGCTTTGCTGTCGATGTTGAAGGATGTCACGAGGCTGCTCCAAGAGTGCCAGGAACCGTACTGGCGGCGGATATACACGTGGTCAAACACTGAACCCTTCTTTGGGATCATCAGCCCTCGTGCAAACTTCAGGTTCTTTGGTCTGGAAACACAGGGTTTAATGAGGTGAAACATCTGCATTGTTACAGCAATATCATGGCATCGTTCCAAAATATTTTCATTTTTGACAGGGACAGTTGGGTAGCATAGAGGTTAAACTTTATTTCTTTAATAGGCCAACGGCCAACATGAAAAATACATTTAACATACTTTCAAACGCGCATTGCCAACATCCGCCTCCCCCCTCCCCTCACCCAACCCCCTTACAAAGACCTTTCGTGACAAAAGATAGCACTAGAAAGAAGATACACATTCACGGATAATTCAGATTATAGTTTTGCTTTACCTGACATATATGATAAACAAATTTGGCTAAGTTGAAGGTTAATACTTCAACTTTGGTTTGTAAAAGACTTATAAACTTCATCATGTTTGGAGACTTGTATACGTCCAGAGGTAGGTAGCGACGTCTAAATGTCAAATACTTAGTACAAACCATGATAACATGATATTCATCCTCCATGTCATTTTTGCAAAAAGGACATAATCAGTTTTCTAAAGCTAATTTTGGTAGAGCCCATCTTCCTTTCTCAATCATAAGTGAATGAGAAGATAATCGTAGTCGTGTCAAGGCTACCCTGTAGTTTATAATATCAATTTGAGATAAATACTTTTCCATGGTAAGTGATGATTTGATAAGCAAATATATTCTTGTTTCACTAAGTGAACTTAGATTATTTTTCCACATTTGTGAATGTATATCAATAACTCTTTGTCTAAAAGCACTTATAAATCCTGTACAATTTAGAGTCAATTTCTGCTGTAACCAAATATAACCATATCCATACTGAAACAACAAGTCTCTAATGAGAGTAACCCATGTTGTATATGTTGGATTCTGCCAAGCGTTGTCGACTAAAGCCCTATATATAATGCTTATATATCGGTTTTCGTCACAGGTGATAATCTTAAAGCATTTGCACCTCATGCTGACCATACAGGTTAACAAAGGTCTTGTGTAGATCACTACCACTCAATGAACCTTAAAGAGTCTGGTGCTTTACATACCTTGGATATTTGCCTGTGGCCTCCATCTCACACAGAGTTCTGAAGAACTCGTCAAACTTGAGCCGTGAGTTGGCGTCCAACGTGGCACCGATGGACCAGACAACGGAGAAGAAGAAGTAGGAGATGATCATGTTGGTTCTCTCCTCAATGATTTTCTGGTCCGTCAGTGAGGTGGGCACCGGCTCCTCCTCTTCCTCCTCCCCTTCCTCGGGGATGTACGACTCCTCATCTTCGTCCTCCTGGCCCAGCCGTCTGTGTCCACAACAGAACATGTATTACGTATAGTTTGGTTTATTTCTTTCCTAATTTGCTTTGAAAAATCTCAGTTTAGCGACAGAATCCTGCCACAGAAGACAAGCATACCCTTGGTTGATAGTGCACCCACTCATGGTGCTCATAACTGACAAGGTGTTTTAACTGCAAAAGGAACTCACCAAAATTATAATACTTTTCAAGATACAGAAGAGCTTCATTCTCAACATGAATTAATAGCCTTGACATTGACTGACTGAGTAGATACTTTAATGGCGGTCCCTCTGATGTATATGGAGATATGTATGATGAGGTCTATTCTGACGAAGATTAGCGAGCTAGAGGCAAAGAGTGTTTGTTCATGGTCACCAGAAAGTACCTTGAAGATGCCTTAAGTGAAGGTAGACAAAATGTACAATACAATATGTCCATACAGCCCCCTGCCTACCTAACATCGTCCATGAGACAGCTGTACAGCTTCAGCATGCTGGACGTCAGATGCATGGCGTGACATGGCAGGATGTGGCGGCAGTACTTGGTCACGAAGTTCAGGCTCGGCGGCAGGATCCACTCAAACAACATCTGCAAATCAAACAACTTCACTGACCCAGTGGATATGTAGTCCTACTTTAGTAACATTTATCCTTTACATTTTATTTGGTATTTTTTAATATTTACAAATTACCGGTAATCATTCCAAAGCCAAACTGTACCATGGTAGTGAGACTGAAATCATTACCACACCTTTATTGTTTCCCTTTGCTCTGGTGTCAAATTCTCTGGTAAGCTCTTGAGCATCCAGGATTTGATGAGAGGCTCCCAGCTGAGCTGCAGGGGGTCCATGTAGATCATACCACACCTGGCAGGTACAGGAACAATCACATACAGGTGTGCCAGACAGGAACTACTACTGAATCAACTTCAGACAAAATATCACAGATCTTTTATGTTACATGATGACTTTTCAGGAACTGTAATTAAGTAAGTGATGATCTGCATGAAATAAATTCATGCAATATCATAAAATTTGGTGATCCATGATATCTATTCAAATCTCATGTTATAGATGCTGTTGAAAGATCCAGCTACCATTAGTGAAAACTCAGTTCCAAGATATTGGATACTGAAAAGACAAATGCTTGATGAATCTGTTCAGATCTGTAACCAGCTTTCAAAGACAGACTAGACTTGGGCTTAGTTTACTCCATGCAATATAAATAAGTAATTTTGTCTGCTTACACATGCCTAGCTGAGACATTATGAAGATTACGAACTAGACTGTGCACAGTCCCCACTACATGACACAGTCCCCCACCCTGCATCTTGTCTCACCTGCTGACGGTGGCGGGGGAAGCCTGCTCCAGGTCCTGCGGCTCGAAGATCATGTTCTGTTTGTTGCTCATCTGAATGATCTCACCACTCATCAGGCAGAGCTGCAGACAAAGTTAGTGTGGTGTTGACATGAAGTACACACATTCAGATGGAGGTCAAAACAGACTTTAAGCCATGAACAATTCTTTGTTACAGTTATGCCAGAGAAATGAATATCCGAAGATATCTATACATAAATTCATCTTAGCAAGAGTTGAATTATCAGTGAAGCTGTTGATAGTGCCTGCGTGCCTTCAAAACATTGTTACAGATATGATTATCAATGAAGAGATTTTTCCTATTATTTAAGCAACATTATTTTTTGCTCAATTGTGAAAAAACTATGGTGATAATACTCCAGTCAGGCCCAGCTCACTTTCTTGTTGTCATCCAGCACCGTGTTCATGTTCTCTATCCACACAGCATCAACTGGGCCATCAAAGATGATCCATCTACGATCCTGGGAAGTACTCGATGCATGCTCTCGGAATGTGTTGGCTAGTATACCTGAGCATAAAAACTGTTACCATGACAACACTTTAAGGTATTGTGGTGCATGACGATCTGCTTTAGTTACAAACTAATCTACTGAAAGGTTGATGTACAGTTTTACATTAGTACCTATCATCTAGAGTCTTCTATTAAATCAGGGATACTCTACAACAGGGATAGGTCACTCGCTTGTTTCTTTACCATTTGTACTAATTAACGTGTGCCTCGTCATGCTCCAACGCACACAGTGACTTGGTTCGGTCCCTAGCTTAAATGAATGAATGAATGAATGAATTAAGAGCAAGAATTTTATGTGAATGAATGAAAGAAATTAAGAAAAAGAACAAAAGAAAAAGAACATATGTGAATGAATGAAAGAATAAATGATACACCACGGCCATCCCTCCCCAAACATGTTAAAGAACATAAAACTATCGGGTAGAACACAAATGTTAACATCAGCTGTCCTTTTCAAAAAAAAAAAAATTACTTTGAGACATGTTTTACATTAGTAACTAATTCAAATATCTTATTGCATGTGTGGAATGACATGGGCATTGACAGAATGTTAATTGACACTGTCACAGACCCCTCAAGGTGTATGTGAAAGATGTTTTAGAACAATAACTAGAAACACTCAAACAACGCCTGTAGTATTGCAATGGCAGATCGGGCGATATGTCATATTTTTCACACGCCTCAAATACACACTAACAATTTTTTTAAATTATAAAACTATTACTATTACTTGCAGACACCTTTCACGTGATGGTATATTCCCTCATTAAAATTAAAGGTATATGTGAAAGATGTTTTGAACACTAACTAGAAACACTCAAACAACGCCTCTGTAGTATTTCAATGGCAGATCGGGTGATATGTCATATTTTCACACACCTCAAATACACTAACAATGTTTTTAAATTATAAAACTATCACTATTACTTGCAAACACCTTTCACCTGATGGTATATTCCCTCATAAAAATTGAAGGTGTATGTGAAAGATGTTTTTGAACACTAACTAGAAACACTCAAACAACGCTCTGCAGTATTTCAACGCAGATCGTGATATGTCATATTTTTCACACACCTCAAATACACACTAACAATTTTTTTTTAAATTATAAAACTATTACTATTACTTGCAAACACCTTTCACCTGATGGTATATTCCCCTCATAAAAATTGAAGGTGTATGTGAAAGATGTTTTTGAACACTAACTAGAAACACTCAAACAACGCCCTGTAGTATTTCAATGGCAGATCGGCGATATGTCATATTTTTCACACACCTCAAATACACCCTAGCAAAATTTTTTAGTTATAAAACTATCACTATTACTTGCAAACACCTTTCAACTAAAGGTATATTTCCCTTCTAAAAATTAAACGAATATGTGAAAGAAGTTTTTAGCGATATAATTTAGTCTTTCTTCGCTGTGTACTGAGAATTGAAGCCAGTGAGCTACAACATGCCCACTTGAAACTTTACTACAAAGCTACTGTACTTATACTGACACTAATAACAATTATTTGACTTGAAATGAAGTGACAGAATAGGTAACTTATCTTCTACATGTAGGTTTTCAGTTGTCACAACACTCAGCATTATGTAATCAGCTGTTGAAAATAAACCGGGCTCAATCTTAAAACTACGCTGCCGCCATATTGGCTACACTTAGAGTCTTCTATTAAATTAGCAAAAGGAAACATAAGAGACAGATCAAGGAAAATTATCAATAATGATGCAATTAATCATAGCATGACCCTCTGTCTGTTCGTATGCCAGAGAGAGGCAGGGGCACCTGTCACTGCTTACCGTCTGTCCACTCATGTGACACGGGGTCAAAGCGGCCGTACAGCTGACCCATGGTGACAGCCTTGGGGTTGATGACACTGTGCTGAACCTACCCAACATACAACACTGGACATCACCACACTGGACATCACCACTGAATCTTCAAATCTTCAAACTGATTAAACAGTGACGCATGAAAAGAATTATTGGCAACCTTTTTCTTTCTTGAAAGTTTATTTAATTATATTGTGATAAAGGAAACACCAAAGACTCACTTCCCATTGCCTTTGAAAGAAACACATGTTTTTCAATTTTCCAGATCTGCTGCTAATGGTATTCATCACTATGTTACAAGACATAATAGTATCATATCAATTTGTATCATAATAGTAAGATATAAAGAGAGACTGACAGCATTAATCAGCAGACCAAGATTCCACAAGACGGGGATGTTACTTCATCATCAAGATGCACCACTCACCCTGTCCTCCTCCATAAGCCCCTGGTCGTGAAGGTCTCCAAGGCTGTCTGCCAGAGTTTTGAATGCTGATGTCTTGCCCCCAATCGGGTCTCCCACAATCATCAGGCCATGCCGCACTAGGATCATGTCGTAGATCTGGGCAGTAAGAATATACATTCACATACATGTACAAAGTACAAGGAAATGGGATGATATTTATGCTTCTGTGAACATTACCTCCCTCATATCATTAGCCGCCATACTACCAGTACCATCTATACTATCAGATTCACTGCTGATATTGGTCTGTCCTCGGATCCTTTTCTACTGAAGTGTTTGGGACATGGTTGGACATAAACAAGTCACTGATCTTGACCACCCAATCCACTAAATAAGCAATATTAAACTGGAGTAATAGATTATATTTTACTTTGGGTGCCTCCAACCATAAGGAGAGAAAACAGAAACCAACTGACCTGGATGATCTTCTCCACAAACCAAGGCACAGGCTGCAGGTTCCGCTTCTCCATGTTGCTGATCAGGGCTTCCTCCAGGTTCTGGTAGTCAGGCTTCGGAAGCTGCACACCGGGGAACAGGTCTGAGATGATCCCCTCGAACAGGGGGATGTCATGTGACAGGAACTGCAACAGAGGGTTACAGGTAAATACTGACCTTTGACGGCAAACATCCATCAGCGAATTAATTCAGTGAGGGTTGTAACAGGGTTCATTGATTTGATTTCATACCAAGTGTCCCAGCAGTAACAAAGGATACTTCCAAACGTTAAACATTCATTCAAACAGTTTCTAACTACAGTTATAAGATACTTCTAAAACCTACTGGAAGCAATCTGAAAAATCTGATCCAGCATGTTGTGTCACAGAAGACTACTATATATTCACATTGACTTGATTCTGTTCTACTTTGTCCCTTCTGATATCAGTAACTAAACAACTTTACATTATGAATGCTACAAGGTTCAGAAGCATTGTTTTATCAGTCTTACAAAGACCGACAGAATGTTGGATCTCACCTTTGGCAGGTTAACATCATTGATGGATCGGAGCACCAGCACGTCCTCCCTTTGGTCCGGGTACTTCAGCTTCAAGTTTCCAGCCGCGGTCAGCACCGACTTGACCGCTCTCATACCGTAGTCATAGTGGTGCTGGGAAGACAACTGAGCAAACACAGAGTGAGTGAGTGGGTTGCAGTGGGTTAATAAAGCTGTTCTTGTCATCTGGAGGTCAGTGGAAAATTTGAACAAACTTCCTTACTACATCAATAGCATAATATATGAAATATGTTTGCTATGTCATGGAACAGAAGATGGCCACCAAAATTTGAGCAGTTCAACAATATATCAGTGAAGAAAACCTTGTGGACAACTTTGCCAGCTTTGAACTTTGAGTCCACTGTTTGACCTACCTGTTCTGAACACAGCCTATATGTTGCTACAATCTTGGTGGCCAGACTCCGTGCCTCCACAAAGCCCATGGAGTAGAGAGAGATCTCGCCAATCATGCCGTAGTCTGGCACCATCATGGCTACTGTTCGAAATAGCACCTGCAAGACAAGCAACAAACATCTTACTCCTGAGAACAAGAAGACTGAACTGTGAATTGTACAAACCCAGCCTTATAGTATCTGAAGCCAACTGGAGTTTGTCTGGAAACTTGTACCGCCCACTCACCCTGGGACTCACCATGAGGTTCTCGGGATACTCTACTTTGCCTGGGGAACCTAGAACTCACCTTGAGGTTATCTGGAAGCTCTGCTCTGCCTGCATACCCTGGGTTCATAGTGATGAAGATGGTACATGTTGGGTCCAGGGAGATCTCTGTACCCTCAAACACAAACATCTTCTTCTGTTCTGCTATTGCACGCTGAATCGTCTGTACTTGTTGGGCTATCACTGACAGTACCTATACAACAGTGGCTCGTTAATGACTGACAACAGTTTAACTTCTAGGTTCACATATCAGCATCAGTCAAAAAGAATAACCTTCAAACTCAAACCAACCCCTACTTTAGAAAGGTTTTATCAATACCTAACGTGGTCCATGCCTCCAACCACTACCTTATGACAGGCTTACATTTCTCTTGATCAATGAATACATCTTTAACATAATCCCCAAGGACTCATACGTATTAACTGTAATCAATCACCATGTCCTACAAACATTTATTGTGAGATTTTATGGTTGCTTCAACTGGATGACTTTACCTCCAGTTCAATTCTGTTGAATTCATCAAAACAGGCCCATGCTCCTGACTGTGCCAGACCCTTGAAGAATTTGCCCATAGCCTTGTAGTCCAGCCCATCGGAACAGTTGAACACCACACACTGTGAAGATAGGACATACATGTGCACTCACACCACTACAGTGTGTGTCTACAGTCTCATTAACATCAGACACGCTCATACAGCTTTAATGTGATGTCACCTTGGCGAAGGTAAGGGCAGGTGAACCCTGAGCTAGCTTTGTGAAGTGAAGTTTTCATGTTGCTCAGTCCCAAAACAAAACTATGTACAACAATATAATGGTAAGGCGTCATTACCTTGACTTCAGATCCCTGCATTTACTTAACCTTACTTTACATTACACAAAAATCAGATAAGCTTGTCTGAATGCTTTGCTCCCTAATATTGAGGATTCAGAGCATCACCACTGACTGGCTGATTGGAAAATTCCACTGATGCTGCATATATGAAGGCATCGTCAAATCAACATGCATGAGCTATTGTATCAGAGTAAAACATTGGATCATAATGGGCTGATCTGCAAAAAGAAATCAACTCAACACATTCGTTACTGATTGACCAGTGCAACATGATTGTATCAATTACCATATCAGGCTTTACAAACTTCATAATACAGTGCACTCTGTCTAATTCGGACCGGCTTGAGATCGACTAAAATGTCCGAGTTGGACAGCAGTCCGAGGTACACAGATTTTAATAATTTTAATGAAGTTATCTCCCTTTGACGAGCATACGATTGTGCATGAAACACATATTACATGAATACGTATAAAGACGAAACACTGACAAAGTACAAAATAGATATAGATTGATTGCTTATTTGGTATTTGTCGGCCAAGTCTTTCTGTAAAATCTTTGGAATAGCTTCAGAATCATTGATTAGATTTATCTTGGTTACAAGTGACATTTCAGTACGAGGGCGTTTTCGTGGTCGCTCAGACATTTTGACCTGATTTGATATCACACTGAATCTGAAGACCTCTTAAATGCATAGTTACATTGACTCTGAGTTTACATGATCATCAATTAGTGTTAATTGCATCACAGGTAAATAAGCGTTTACAGCTAGACCAAGCGGTCTTGGCCAAGCGGACTTCCTGCTAAGTAAATAAGACAAAATACACAAACCAATCAACGGATTGTTTATGCAAGGTTTATTGGCCTAGCGGACTTCCTGCTCAGTCCGAATTATAAAGCAATGTTTTTACGTGTAACTACCTGATCGGGCTGACACTTTGGTCCGAAATCCAAAATAATGAGAGTCCGAGATACAGAGCTTTTTCATTATGACAACAAAGAAGGATTACGTCGGGACTGTAAGTTCAGTCCTGTTTATACAGCAATCCGAGAAAGACAGTCCGAGTTTGACAGAGTGCACAACAAAAAGGAGAACTATCAACTGGAAACAGCTCCTTCTAGCTACCTGTTTAGCGACAGCCTTTGCGAGGTCTTTCGAGGTCTCTGTCTTCCCTGTGCCAGCAGGACCTTCAGGAGCACCCCCCAGGTTCAGCAGCAGCGCCCCCATCAGAGTCCTGGACCACAACCACATGTCAGGGTGGGGACACAACCATTACACAAGGGGTCACATCCTCCACTTACAGTGATAGAAGTTGTGGATGTTATTCTTTCTTATTTGAGAAATATAAATACTGAGTTTTCAATGTCAAGCTTGCCAGTAATTTAATAATTTGTAAGGCCTCATATTTTAAATTTAGCAGTTAATCTACAGGAAACCTAGCTCTTCATGTAAACACAGAATGTGTATCAGTTTTAATTTGGTACCATTGATCAACCAATCTGAATTAAGTAACTTCTAACTGTAGAATTGTGGTTAATCTTTTGGACATTTTTTACAGTCAGAGGCCATAGGTACGCTTGATGTCCAGATAAATTTTGTTAATTCACGTTGCAGAGTACATTTTCCATTTATATGGAATACATTCACAGTTTTGGCTTGTTTATAAACATATTTTTGTAGCTTGAAAGTAAAGATGTTTATGTCTCACCTGTAGCACCTGTCTGTAAGAGGAGTGATAACGAGGCGACCTGAGTTACCCAGGTACTCATAGGCGTAGGCCACGGTCGTTGTGATCATCCTCACCATGGCAACCCGATCCTCATAGTAGTAGCGGAGCTGGCTGATCCAGGAGAAGTCCTGGTGACTCTGGGTGTTGATCTCGTACAGTTTCGCAACAGTGTCTCGAGCTGCCGTAGTTTATAGTATTTATATGAGCTGAGAGGTCAACACGACATGGGGAACACTAAGGTAATCACTGCCTGTATCAATGTGGGTTTGAACATGGGTCTGTGGAAATCCTAGCCAAAACCTTAGCCACTGGGATACCCTACTGACACTCATTAAACAATGTCAGGCAGTATATTTCTGGGTATGCAAGTATTTTGTAAAAATGCTGTTGGAAAACTAATGTAAATCACTTTTTGTTGTGTTTCAAAAGGTAAAATTGTTCTTACTCCTCTATCTGAGAACTTACATAGTTTTAGCTGGAGGGATCAGAGACTGGCACAATTTGTTAAAATGAGTTTTCACTTTCCATAAGTAAATACATTTTCTTAAATCTCTAAATTAACTTCGTATATTGTTTTCGAGATGAAATGATCTTACCGTGCACATCAATAACGATGAGTGCTCCCAGAGTGATCCGAGCCATCTTTGACAGTTTACCTCCGGACCATCTGGACAATCTCATCCACCTGCTTGTTGCTCTTGTCCAGGTACTCCTTGAGGTGGTTGTCCTGGATAGCCTGGAGGAAGAACTCACATGCTCAGCAGTCTAATACTTCTTAAAACATTCTGGTTTTCTTGATAATATTTACTTGTGTTTTGTATGCTATGAATATTTGACTCACCTTAGTCACCTCCGCTGTCCAGTGAACTTGTCCAGCAGCCAGTACAATCTGTCCAGGATACTGGAGAACCCATTCCTTCCTAGGGATGTTGGGGTATGACAGAACAGCTTTAGTCATCTCTTCCTTGAGACTGAGTTTCATTACCTCCTCCACCTGTTTGGACATTGTGTGTTAGTGAGTGAGTGAGTTTAACACAGCTTTGAACTGTTTTATCAAATGTGTCTGTTTGATGTGTGAGATAAGAACTGAGTCGGATGTGATGGAGCTCTTAGAACGTTAACAGTTTGATGTAACTCACAAACAAGGTATGATCATTTCAAACCCAGAAACAGAATCCGCTATTTGAACCTAATAAGACAATTGTGCCCCTTCAGACAAAACCTAAAAGATCATATCGATGTTACTATGAAGCAAATTGGAAAGTTTAACTGACTGACTATTCACTTTGGTGTCCCTGCTTGCCAGCACATGGAACCAACACTAAGAAATGATAACTAGCGTGCCTCAAGACACCATCTGGGATGTCCAAACAAAACAAAGGGAGATAACCTGTAACAGCCATCGCTCCACCAGACCGTGTGCATCGGCAGGGATAATCTTGCGAGGGAAGTCCACTTTCTCCTTCTCTGCAGACTCCATGGCAACAATGACCTTCTCAAGGTTGAAGGTCAGTTGAGCAATACCCTCAAAGCACTTCTTGAGATGAGGCTGAACACGAAGAGGATCTTTGGTTTCAGACAAAATTTCCAGGAGCTCATCATTTGATAGGAAGAAGAATCTGTAATTATCAGGAATACAGTGGAGTTAGATTGAATATATAAAGTGAGTACACTGTGGTTGGGGCCTTCACTGAACCAATATACATAAGATAACATGTGGTAAGGTCCTAGATCACATTACATTTTGATGAACTTTTCATCCATCTTGTACAAGGCATATAATATATATTTCAATTCCAGATCTTTTTAGGGTCTTTGTAGGAACTTGGGGACAATTTACTTATGCCTTAATACCTTTCAATAAGCACTAAGATCAATTAAATAGCTGTATCCTTTAAAGTATCTTCAAATAGCTCCCAGATAAGGGTTGGAATCAAGCAAATATAAACTTAAGCTGGTTTCTTTCGTGTCAGATACAAAACCATTGAACTACTAGTTGGGAACCTGTTTTAGACCTGTGTTTGACAGTTCCTACCTTGGGAAGAACAGTCTCTTTTTCTCCAAATAGTCATTGAGACCTTTCTGGATGTCATCAAGCATGGACTGGAAAACAGGGATCTTGTAATCACTGGAGTGCATACCACAATGTCATACCATACAATGTTATCCAATAGGTGTCAATATTCCCAGTATATTTCCCACCTTAATCATCAGATTACTTGTATCACACAAGCCTTTTCACAAATATTTTCAAATTATTTGATGCAAAGTTCATCAGGTTATCATTATCAAAACAGATGTTTGTTTTCAAAAACAGTTATCAAAAATTAATTAGATAGAGATAGGTTTCACTGGCCATAGCCTGAAATATATTAACAGTAAGAAGCTGAAAGGTGTTACCTCCTTGGAGACCTAAATATCACACCATTTCAGGCCCCAGGATGTTGTTGACTCACCTCCGAGTGCTGCAGTTTCTCCAGCATCTGGTCCTGCGACACGACCACTAGTGCCCGAGTGTTCTTGACTGCATTTGCCATGATGGTTTGCCTGTTGAGGCATCAATGTAAACAAGGTCAAATACCCGCTTGTGTGCATTTAATGTGTGCATTAATTTTTTCTTACTTTCATCGCTTCATGACACTGATGAATGATCGAATTTCATTGGTAAATGTTACTGAATTTGAACCAGTAAATGAGCAATATGATTTTAGAACCATTTAAAGAATAATTCACACATGCTGACCATGGCAGTAAAAATGAAAGCAGAATAGATTTATCTCTTCACTTGTCGGATTTTCATTCATCCATTTGTTCATTCATTCATTCAGCATTTTCATCATTACCCAGCAACTATACCCACCTCTCATAGAGGCAGAAGGCACATGTTTTACATTTATTGTGTTGTCTACATTGTTGAAGTTGTCGTCAAGTAGAAACAACACAACACCAAATACAGCAAACAGTGAAAACATCCTGACTACAGGGCCTCTGCAAGAACACACATGATGTTGGATGTAAGTTCACAGTTCAAGCAGACTGTCCACCCTCCTTCTACACCTGGTCACCTACCAGTGGTCATCCACCTCCTCAAACATCTTGCCCTCCACTGGAATCTGGTTCCGGATATCCTGGGAGCCAAATATTGGTTCCAGGTACAGCCATGCTGACTGAACCTTCAGCCATGAATCCCAATATGTCTCGCATTCGATGCTAAAATGACACAAAATATTCACATTTGAGCACTTCTAACTGTTACAGTTATGTCAAATATCCATAGAGATCTCTCTGATACTATTTTCAGCTTTTTTACAGATTAAACCATGAGATCCATTACATGTCTAACAGTCTGTCAACATGTGATAAGTATCTTGACAGTCACTGGATACATTATCATAATCTTAATGACTGACAGTTGAAAGTTGCCCAAACAGCCATTAAAGCCTCCGTTTTAATTCTTGATTACGTAAGTGGTATTGTTTTAAATATTTAACTCTGTGAAAAATGGAGATTAAATGAGTGTCTGTCAGATATCATTTACCTTGCCACTTGTTTCAAAACACTTATGTTTTTTTAAATGAGTTGATAGTTGAAATGTGTTGAGTTACGTGACAGGTACAAGTGTATGTACACACAAGTGTGATATATCATATATCTGCCTACCAGTTTGTGGTCCCACTCGTTCACCTCCAACTCGAATGGACCAATGAATGGTGATCCCTTCATGGTGGTTGTCTTGACGATATGGTCATCAAGAAGCACCTGGATCTCATCAAAGGCAGACAGGATGCTGATGCCGGTGTCCTTGTACGCCACAAAGTTGAAGTGGACGGCCTCCCACTCGGTCTTCATCTTAGACAGAGCCTAGGGACAAAGTCACACAGTGAGTAAATGAGTGAGTCATTTGGGTACCATACCACTATTGATGTACTTGGAGACAACATTATTTATGATCACAACTATTGTTTGATTTATAGCCTTGACTCAACAATATTTCAGATATATGACTGTGCTGTGTAATTGGACCAGACAAAGCAGTGATTGAGCGAGTGAGTGAGTTTAGATTTACGTAGGTTTTGGCAATATTCCAGTAATATCATGGCAGATGGCACCAGAAAAGTGCTTCACACATTGTAATATAGGATATGATATTTAATATAGGATATTTATATAGCGCACATATCCAGGCAACTAGTGCATGCTCAAGGCGCTGGTATTTTTTCCCTTGATTATTGGATGTCAATCTCAATGGCACATCGTATTATCAATCTCAACACCCTGGGGAGTATACAACTCTTGCAGCCACTAGGAGCACCGAGTTATTGTGGCTTTCTCATCCTAACGAGGTACCCATTCACAGCTGGGTGGACTGGGACACATAGTCACAGTACTTTGTCCAAGTTCACTGCACGTTGCTGTACCCACAACTAGGTGTTTGCATGTATTCATGTGGCCACCATCTGGTCATATACCAACGGATTCGTGGGTTCTTTTAAGTGCACAAGGTTATGTACTGTACACTAGGGGTTGTGACAACACTGAAAGAGTTGACACAAAGTTGACTCCAAGGTTTTTACACCCGGTCAAAGATGGGCTCGATCCGGACACCTCAACTTCACTGGATCACTAGCCTGGTGCCTTAGCCAGCTCGCCCACCGCGCCCCCATGTACCCATGTGGGGAATTGAACCCGGGCATTCGGTGTAACAAGCGAACGGATGTTTGAGTGCCACCCATGAGAGATCAGTTTATATCATTGTATATATAATACTTGCATATTTACACCCTCCACCCACTCTGCCAAGCGAGGGTTGATGCTACCCACCTTCTCCAGTGCGAACTCCTTGCTGGCCTGTGAACTGATGTCCATCAACTCATCCAGGTACTTCTCCAGCCCCATCTGCAGCACCTCCAGGAGCGGGGTCTGCTCATTCGGGGTCATGTTGAACCCAACCTGCAACACGGAGATATATGGAATCTGTTCATGTACATAGGGACAAAACAGTGGACAAAATATTTCCACATCAGGTTTTGTTTACAAAACATTATTGGTCACTAGTACAAATAATACAAGATTATCTCACCTTCTCATTCATCATGTCACAGTGTCTCTCCTTTACAAGACAATCTCACCTTCTCATTCATTACATCCCAGTGTCTCTCTTTTACAAGACAATGTCACTTTCTCATTCATCACGCCCAAGTGTCTCTCCTTCAGAAGACCATCTCATATCTTCTCATTCATCATGGCTCAAAGTCTCTCCTTTACAAGACAATCTCACTTTCTCATTCATCACATCCCAGTGTCTCTCCTTTACAAGACAATCTCACTTTCTCATTCATCACATCCCAGTGTCTCTCCTTTACAAGACTATCTCACCTTCTCATCCATCACATCCCAGTGTCTCTCCTTTACAAGACTATCTCACCTTCTCATTCATCATGTCCCAGTGTCTGGCCTTGATGCCAGGATTACACAGAGCATTGATGAGAGGCATGTTGATCTTGAACTTCTCTAGTTTGGCCTTGATGGTGGCAGATGCCTTGAGGCAGCTGCGGCGGTACTCGGGACTGGAGAACGTCTTGGTCAGCTTGTAGGCCGTACGACACAGGTTCTGAACCTATACAGCAAGATTCAAGTACAGTTTCTGTAGGTTGTATACTGAATCACAATTGTGATTGAAAAAGATTCAGTCTCTTGCATGCGTTCATCCATTTTTACAGTTGTTTAAATGTTTTAATGCTTAAAGCAGAATCTAAAAGTTGAATATTTTTAAGCTTGTTGTAATATGTAAAGAACATGTAAGTTATTTTAAAATTAATTATTATGATCTTTCAAACTACTAAAAAAGTCATCAAAATGCCAGAATAGCTCTTCTCTTTAACTTCTGTGGGTACCTTCATCCCTTAAGTATGAGAATGGTAATGTTCAGTTTAAAGTTAACTGTAATTAATCCGTGTCACATGGTTTCAGTCTCCAACAGCCATACCTCTTCCTCCACGACCTCAGCATTGACCTCCAGGATCGGCCCATTCATCCACTTGTCGTGTTCACCATGGAAGGTCACGGCAGTGGACCACAGCTTGTCAAACGGTTCCTTGGCTGTGGAGATCTCCAGGATCTCATCATATTGTGTCTGATGCTCAAACCCTAGCATCACTTCCTCACGATTTATGTTTAGTTTCTGAAAATAGCGTAAACAATGAAAATTTATAATACGCTATCAGAAAACACATCTGGAAACAAAAGGAACTCTACACGCCGACTGTCGTCAATTTTGTGCGAAGGTATTGAAGTTACTGGGACTGTTAACGTTACCATGGTGATACACATGCATATGGTTGTAGGGTTGACATATGAAGAATTATTGTCAGGTCTTTGCATGTGAAGAATCGAATCTTTTTATATTAGGAGTACAACTCTTGGTATGCAAAGAATAATACTCCTGCTATGTGAAAAATAAAACTCTTTGTATGTGAGGAATACAATTCTTTGCATGTGAGTCACATGAGACCCACTTATGATCAAACTGAAGTACTGACACACGGGCACTGTGTGGCAGACATTCATATATGTCCCTACCGTCTGTTTGAAAGTCTCCAGTCGGATGGCGATCTCGTCCAGCTCTGCCTTGTACTGCTTGGCTTCAGACATCCGGTCTCGGGTGGAGAAGGCTCCGACCTTGCGGGCCACGTCTGCCAACTCGACAGCGAACTTCTTCTTCTTGTCCCTGAGTTTGGACACAGCCATGTCATGTTCCCTCTGCAGCTTGTTCTCTCTGGCAGACAAACAAAGGTGGGTCAGTCAGTAGGGGGGTTGTTGGGTGGGTGGCGGGGAGGATGGGTGTGATGATATATGGTGTTGTTGTTAGATGGGTGTGGTGTTGATTGGAGGTTGGATTGGTGAGCGTGTTTGTTTGTGTGGTGGGACTGTTGTTGGGTGAGAGGATGGGTGTGTTGTTGCATGGAGTGGGTGTGGTGTTGTTTGGAGGATGGATGTGTCAATGTGTTCATTTGTGTGGTGGGGCTGTTCTTGGGTTGGTGGGTTTGTTCTTTGTTAAGTGGGTGTATTGATGGGTGGATGGGTTGAATGGTGGGTGGGTGAGTGAGTGAGTGAGAGGGGATGTTGTTGGATGTGTTTGTTCAGTGTGAGGATGGGTGAATGTGTTGTTGTTTGGGTGTGATGTTACGTGAATGTGTTGTTGTGTGGGTGTGATGTTAGGTGGATGTGTTCTGTCCTTGTTGGCTGTTGGTGTTTTGGGCAGGTGAACTGAAATAAATTCTTGTTATAACTACTGTTTCTTACGTGTTTCTCACAATGGGCATGATTCTGTCTGGCCAAGTGAACGTGTTGTTATTGATGATGATGTCATTGGAAGGGATCATCCCATATTCCATCAGAAACATCAGGTTACCAGCAGCAACCTCAAGTTTGTCCTGAAATAGAAGAAGCATTCTATTATGTTCAATAAACAGTTTCCCCTATTCTGCAACATCTGTCAATGTTAATATTTACTAAAATAAGGCTCTCAAAGTACGTCTGACAGGTTCCTCTGAGAGAGACCCACCTTGAGCTCTAATAGTTCCCCAACTTTGAGGTTCTCCACATAGTCTATGAGTCTGACAAGCTCCTCTGTGTTGGTGGCCTGCTGGGCGCTGCTTTTTTTGACGATCTGGTCGTATTGTTTACAGATTCCACGGTTGAAGTTAAGGCTGGTTGTGATTATTTTATTCACCATAATGTCAATCAAAGAGCGAGCACGGTCAATCAGCCACTGAAAAATGTGAAATAAGTGAGTTACTGAGTTTTAATGTAAAGACACATTGACATTATCATTAGTGATAGCGGTAATGATATGAGCTCTGCATTTTCACACATTAGGTGCAGCAAATAAGTCCTACTCCAAATATTGGGAATACGATAAAACATTGATTTTATCAAGAGTAATTACTTGCTCCATATATCCCCCATTCTGACATACATGTGGAGGGTTTTATCTGGTGTCAGTAGTGAGTATAGCATCATGTTGGTTAAGCTACACTACAGCATTATCAAAGCAGGGGGGGAAAGGCTTCACACATTGTACACATATTGGGAGTGTGAATGAGTACAGTTCTATGCCACTTCTAGCAATATTCCTACAATATCATGGCGGGGAACACCAGAAACAGTCTTCATCATATTGTATGCATGAGAGGCCTTTGGCATAACCACTATTGGGAACTTAACACCTGATTTACAGCTGATTGAGTGAATGCTGTAACCACAATTCTAACATACTACCAGGTTGTATGCAAGTTCTTACTGGTTGTACCTAGCTATTTCCTTATTGGTATAATGCTGTCTGGTATAATGACAATCTAAAGGTCAAGGCCATCCTTGACATACGTCCCTACCAACAGTCAGGACAACTTATTGCCAGATGATGCAACAAGTCAAGTTTTTGATACACATGTTAAGTTGAAAGAAAATGTAGATTAAACATTTAAGTATTGTTTTCTTTCCTGTAAATTCCATAACCTTCCTAGCCAGATTGTTATCTTTATATACTTATCCTACCATTTTTAAACAGGTAAGAGAGTGAGTAAGTATGGTTAGCAATATTCCAGCAATATCACAGTGGAGGACACCAGAAATGGGCTTCACACATTGTACCCATGTGCATGACGAGCGAACACTTTATTAGGCAACTCCACAACCCCTTAAACATGTAAGTACCAATGTATACTTCGCAATAAAAGGACATATCCTTTCGTATAGCTGTAGACAACCTCTCAGGACAAATTATTCAATAACAGGAAAGAAGGGACAGCAAGTAGCCCGGAAATGTTGTCTCGAACACTTGATTGTCATCTGTAAAAGTTTCACACATTCGTTCTACTGTCAGGTTCCTGTAAAGTAGACCACTGTGTCCGTCTGCTCCAGCTTACCTTGTTGATGTGGGTGCAGTTGAGGAGGAAGAGGTGCATTGGGATAAGGACTGGCAGCGACCCAATCTCAGACGCCATCTTCTTGAGCTTCTCTATCTCCCGCACGTACTCACGCAGTGAGTGGTCACGACTCACAAACTTGTTGGTGAAAGTGTTGGCATTGGTCGAGAGAAGGTACTTGTACGGCTCATATGTGGACTTGTACCTTGGAAACATACAATGAGTTTCATTGAACATGACTTTGAAGGAAATCCTTAGATGTTAAAATCAACAGCACTGGTACTGTTCTGAAAAGTCAAGCAACATAACCAGGCTAAAGATGGGATGTAAAACCTGCCTGAAGGGATACAATAGTGAAACCAGTTAATCTGCCATAATGGATTCTCTGTTATGTGTGTTAGCTGCAAAGGTTTTTTTGGTTGCAAACCTGAGTCCCATTTTTATACTACTGGAGATCCAATAGCACAAAGACTAGCACTCTTCATACATGATAAATTGTGACACAGTTGTACAGCCCAGATTACATTGTGGTATGGAGTACTGTGCTTGTGGATCTGACGTTTTTCAGAAAGAGTGAGTGAAGGAGTTGGGCTTAACGCCACTTTTAACAGTATTCAAATTTTATTATAATTATTAGGTCATGGCATGTGGGTGTAATGTGGGAGGAACTCCTGAAGTGACACAGGTCTGTTATGAGTTTGGGATTCTGAAGCAACTCTGCAGAGCTCAGGTTTAACAGGGCCACCCAACTGTTCTTCCAGATAATATCATTATACTCAGCACCATTCTCCAGACCAGGCAAGTGTTGTGAGATGTACCCCAGGTCAGTGTGTGCCAACAGGTTCATCATTTATCACAGAATCATTCTTGACTTACTTAATCGGACCATGACTATTTGCCATGACCACCTTGCGGATTCGAGCTTTGGCAGCTTCAACCAATTCCTCGCCATCTTTTACAGTACTAATGAACTTGACTTCAAGGTCGTCCACTGCATGGAAGAGCAGATGTTCGATGTGTTTCAGGTCGGTGACGCTGGCCACCATGGTGTCAATAATGAAGCAGAAAAAGTCACAGATGTTGGGAAAGACAGGCTTAAAAGACAGTTCCCCTGCCTCCAAGCTCTCTTCCTGCAAGAGAAATTCAAAGGCATTAGAAATATTCCAAGACAACTTTTGTGAAAGAAAAACTGTCATATTTCATATTTACTGTTGAGAAACAGTTTCTCTGCATACAAAACATTCTCCAACAAACAGGGGCCGGAATTCTCATGTGAGCTTGGTGTTGCAAGAATTCAAGTGTTTTAGACAACCGGGTACCCATGTCCCTATGTTTTCCTATGATTTACAAAAGACTTATAGGTACGGATGGTTTCTTTACATGGCATTACTTTCAAGTATTACTAACATTTATTTCCTAACTAGTTTTCTCACATGATGAATAGTAATAACGTCACATTGTGCAATTTTTTTCCATATCCGTGAAATTCATTAAAACAATTAGATACTTCACAGTTTTTGACAATAATTTCTCTTTTTGTTTTACAGTTAAGCCTATTCTAATTCTCGAAATATTTTGAAAGCAAACTGTTTATTGTGTAGTTTTATTAAAATTCTAAAATTCATTTTTGCATATGGAAAGTACATAAATATCAACTACAACTGACTTATGAAGACAGTTGCCAATGTGTTTCAGTCAGCTGCAACCAATGATGTTCCTTCAGCATGCAGACAGCAAACAGATGCAAACCTCCTGATTGTGCTGAGGCTTAGTGTAAGGCTAAACTTCTCCCATTCAGTCTTGATTGACAATGTAAGTCCAGGGCCACGACAGTCGTAAGCCTATGTTAAATTATGGGAGTTACAATCATCTTAGCGCTACGATCGCTTTGAGGAACAGGGCCCAGGCTAAGCCTGGGATACTGGGGAGGGATGCCTCAATTTCCCTCTGACCAGGGTAACATTCTCAGTCAAGACCATGAACAAAATTTCAGTCCAACGTAAAAACCAACTTTCTGGAATGCACATTATAAATTGATCTACACTGAGTTCCATACAGCTGTAAACTGAACTGACCATGAAGAATGTGACTGGGTGTAGTTTCTGTGGGAGTGCTAGCCCCTTGAAGATGCTGTAGACGCCGTCATAGATGTTGCCATCGGCGTACTCTTCAACAAGGTCGACAAGGTCAGAGATCGAGTTGGCGACACAGCTGCGCAACAAGTTGGACATCAGGGAAGCCACGCTGCCGAAAAAATGGTCCATCTTTTCCATCCTCTCCTCCTGGAACATGATAGACTGCACCATGGACACTGAGAATACAGTACTTTACTGAAATATCAAACAGAGTTAATGTTCTTCTGAATCATCATGTTTCTACACAAGTTGGCATTGTACAGAGCATCTGATACCTCATCCTGATGTGTCACATCAACCAACTGAATCCCCCCAGCATTCTGATGTGTACGGACATTGTCACAACCACCTACCAAATCCTCTGGCATCCAGCCCTCCACCTCATCTCGGTGTGCATCAACGATGTCACAGCACTCCATCAGCCACTCAGCCTTCAGTCTGTTGGCCCCATTTTTACTTGATGTCTGCACGTGCTTCAAGAATCTTTCCATGGTTACAGGCATACACTTCCGCAAACCAGGAATATCTAGGAGTCGGAAATTACCATATCTGTGGACAGAAATATCAAGTAAGAAAATAAATCAAAAACTTGGAAATGCTTAACACCTTCATGTATCATGCTAAAAAATTATGAATTTGCTTGTTATATCGTTTCTAAGACACATTCATCACAAGGAAAGGATACAGTATTGTCCTGGTTATGGCATTAAGAAGATAGTGGAAGGGTGGTCACATGAAGTTTGGTATTGATTACCTCTTCTTACTGTTCCACTGAGGAAACCAGATAAAGGGAAAACGAGTTCAAACTTAACTTAGACACGGTAAAGAAGTTGTTGTCCATGATAGTTTCAATTCTTTGGACTTACAAAACCTTTTTTCCCACAGACTTATTTTGTGTAGAACAGTGTAATATTTTCCTACAAATCTATTAAGTGTGGAAGTGGTGTTATATTTTACTGCAGACTAATCATTTGGATGGGAATGGTATAATCTAATCCTATTTTGGATGCACCTGACATTTTTGCTTTCTTATAGACTTCTTTGAAAGATAACTGTATAGAATTTTCCTTTCCATTCTACTTTGTGGAAGTGTTGTTTTCCAACATAATTGGAAACGGAAACCTATTTTGCTATGGACTTGCTTTATGTGGAAATGGTGTGGTATTTTTCCTGTATATATTCTATGTGGAAATGGTATAGCTTTTCCTACATACTTGAAATTGGAAATGATTTTCATGCTTACCTACTTTGGGAATAATCAAATGGTATTTTCCTAAGTACTTACTTTGTGTGGAAATGGTACAGTATTTTCCTCATGACAGGATGTGTGACGTAGAGTTCATTGCACATGAAGTCCCTCATGGAGTTGACTGTATCGTGCCAGGGGAACCCGTCTCTCCCGGCCAGGTTGGAAGGCTGGAACAGATACAGATACATATATGTACCGTCACTGTCATGATACATAGGTTCTGCTAAGTAAAACAACTAAAACTTGTTCCATGAGGCAATCCCATAATGTCTTCATGTTCTCTCACTGGTTGAGTCCAAGAGAACTTACAGATTGTATGCTGAAAGTGAAACGTCCTTGCAATACACTGTCATTCCAAAGTCAGTACGTTTGGTCTACTTGTCAGTATTTTCAAAGATTACATCTATATATATGAGAATTGTGTTACATACAAGATGTGTTGGTGGACATAACTACCTTGGCAGGCATGGGCACCCCCAGTCTCTCTTGTTCAGTGGCGTCAATGAGTACATAGTCCAGGATGGCTTTCCTAACGGCCAGGCGGTACTCCCCGTCCATCTCCTGTACACAGAATCAGTATCATCTCCTATCAGGGCCCCAGATAAGGGCCGTATCGGCGTATGTATGGATAGAAAATATGCACGATACGGTAGGAAATAACGTAGAAAACGTAGCAGATACGCACCACGGCAATGGTGTACTCTCTTTGAATCATTTACAGATGAATTTATCTGAAAGAGTATTGTTTCATTTTTGTTCATTGACCTGTGTACACAAGAGTAGCAATGTTGTGGTGCATATATGAAATGAAACACATAACTGATACTCCATTAATTTCCATTCAGTACTCTAAATGTACACTTAAGGTTTTCCAGTACTCCTATATTGAACAAATAAGGAGTACATACTCCTGATGTTGAAACATTATCTGGAGCCCTGCTTATGTTACCAAAGTGGGAGGTCTCCAGGATACACAAAACTTGATCTTATAATTTCAGGTGAGCTATCTTCAGCTACTGTTGTATACCATATCACAGTTTGAAACTTGTGACACTGTAGAAGAAACCAAACCTGTGATACAGCATGACCATCATGTACCTAGTCTCTTACAATACCTGATGAACAAAGCACTGATGCCTTTACCTGAGATTTTGTCCTTCTATGCTCATAACTGTATGATCTGAGATTAGTTTGGTCACTAACTGTTGGAATGGAATTCTGAAAGTTTGTGAGTAAATATAACAAGAGTCATGGAATCTGAAACCATGTATGTTAAGTTTCAGCAAGAAATATTCAACAGTTTGGGGAGTTCTGCTGTAGAAATGAGCACTACACTACACCAACTTGTCATCAAGAAAACAAAACTCATCATTAGATATCCCAGTGATAAAAGTTTACCAGTAGACTAATCTCCGCACTCTTCTACCCAGACTTCCATGCGGCAAGCCAGCATAGTATCTCTGCCACAGGCCAGAAAAATGTGACGATTCGTCACATCTTGCACCGTCCATTCAATATAATTTACAAATTTCTCAACTCTTTTATTTTTGACGAGTCTACACAACTAATTAAACATCTTTGATAGAATGGTTTAGTTTCATTGAGAAAATATCCTAAAACATGTAACACTATTTCGATTTGCGTAGCGATCCTTTGTTTACATAGGTTGTATGGCTCCACGTGCTGTCATCGAAGCTGATGGAGAGCAAACGATGCAGCCAGTTTGATATCTAAATATGTACTGTCATAGACCTTACTGTCGCAGTTGTGGAAGAATATATATGTAACAATGTAAAACATTATGAAGAGAGAGCCGACAAGCTTTCGTGAGTCCAGTCTCTTCTTATTATGAATATGCGCGTTTGATTACAAACAAGAGAAAAGTCCGGTCATGTGATATGCAAATTAGCCTGTGGCAGTGATGTTATGTTAAGTCATCGCTGTGCCGGAGTGTGTAATCTGCGTAGTAAGTTTCATCTTTCAATATTCAATGGTTTTGAAGTTTTCTTTGATGGGCATTTTAGTAATGGGGTTTTAAGTTATGCTTTGTTTTCTGGAACTGAGTACTACCCTCATTTTCAGTGTAAGCCTATCTTGTTGTCATGGAAACATCCTCAAACAAGGCTTAAACAGTAACATCTTTAAGGCCAACAACTTCTACTTCATTGTTAACATTATCGTTAAAGTGTGATGTAGATACTCCGGCACTCCTGCTACTCCACTTGCTAAATACAGTAAACCAGAAGTTGTGATCCAGTTGTAAGTTATCTGTCTTTAGTTCTGACAATCTGGAGACAGTGTTCTACAGGTAAAGTCTCACTTGTCTAAACTCCCTTGTGGCTGCAGGTAGGTCTGTCCTCAGTTTGTGGGGTACAAAGCGGTTGACTCCGTCCATGGTTGATTTAGTAATGGGCCCCACCATGGAAGGCTCGATAGCTTTCTCGATCAGCTGGTAGTACCTGGCCACAGACAGGCATGTGTTTTATACACCATGTAACAAACATTTCACTTTATATTATGGGCCTGTAAGCTAATAAACTTATGTAGATACATTATTGTACACATAGCAGGGCACGGAGTCATCCAGTATATGGAATCCTTAATGTGTCTTGTTGCTGATGGATTTTAACCTGTTTGGTCATGTGGACTTCGTGGAGATCCTCAGATCAGAAGGCTATGGGTTCTCAACCAATCATAGTACAATATTCACAATGGTCATAACACAAATCTGTCCCATAAGGAACCTGGAGTTGAGAATGTCTCCAGTAGATCAATCCTGGTGTTGACCTGACAGAAATTTTGATACCCATTCAGCGTGAACAATTGCTCTGGCTATCAACCACTGGTTTGGATCACTGTCTACCTTGTTGACCAGCAGTTCATCTGAATCAAGTACTTTTTGCAGGGTAATGCAGTATAGCTAGCTATGCAGTTACAGTACAGAACATCCAGATGCCCATCCAGTTGGTATTCAAAGTTCCTAACTGTGTTATAGTTAGAGTGTAAATCATTTGGGAGGAAACCCCATAGCGATGCAGGTCATAGATCTATACCAGATTGGATCAATTCCACAGACATACATATCACCATGGTGACCTACCTCTTTCTGTCTTCTGGTTCTGGAGTGCTAGGACGACTCAGTCCATGGGTGGAGTAGAAATATGGTGGGAATTCAACTTCTAGAACATCTGCTTCTTCCTGAGTGTGCTCACAAGTGGGTCTCCAGTTACCATCAACGTCCATGCCAGTGCTACTGAGTGTCCGATCATGATCTGCAGTTTCAGGATTAAACAATTAGACACACACTCTGGGAGGCTTGTTGTGTTTAGTTGGTGGCTAGGTGTAAGTGTCTGGTGGGTGGTTTGTTGCATTTAATGGGTGGCTTGCTGTAAGTGTGTAGTGGGTGGCTGGTAGATATCTCACCTTCTGCGGCTGTCTCGGGCACAGTTGGCATGTCATGGATGTAGACGGACGGTGGACGACCACTGTCCACACTTCCCTCAAAACTAATTGAGCTGTGTCTGGGGCTGATGACACATGTCTGCTGATTGGTTGTGTCCAGGTCAGGTGATGTCTCCTCAGCTGCCACTGTCTGGCTCTGATCTGTTGAACCTGGTAGTAAGACATTGGCTATCGTACCTGGTCATGTCAAAAGTCAAAAGGAGTTTATTTGTAACGAGGCCAAGGGCCCATATACAACATATAACTATACATACAAGTGAAGTCTAAAGTGTTTAATAAGGCACTAAGAATGTTGAACTGAAAACATACAAAGCCTATCAAAAAACACAACCAATGTCAGAAGACATATGCCATATTTCCTCTAACAAGCTCTGGGTCTTTAATAAGTGCCGGGTATGAAGTCCGTTGAAAAAGCAAGCACCTAGGTGCTTATAAGAGGAAATATGGTAGGTCAGAATGGGTCCCCACTACCAATTGCTTGTCTCTCCATGACAATCCCAGAGTAGGATAGGTCTGCATTACCGTCTGCTTGGCTCCCAATGGATTATTCCAGACCATAATTGGTCCCCATTACCCAAAGCTTGTCACTCCATGACAAGCAGAATATGTTCCCAGTAGCCCATGATTGTCTGCCCATGACTATTCCTGAGCAGAATATGTCCCCAGTAGCTCATGATTGTCTGCCCATGACTATTCCTGAGTAGAATATGTTCCCAGTAGCCCATGATTGTCTGCCCATGACTATTCCTGTTCAGAATGTTCCCAGTAGCCCATGATTGTCTGCCCATGACTATTCCTGTTCAGAATGTTCCCAGTAGCCCATGATTGTCTGCCCATGACTATTCCTGTTAGTAATATTAAAATATTATGCTTAAAAAATATGGGAAGGTAGGGGGGTCATTGATTTTGTACATGACATGCAAGGAGGGTCACTTACTTAGTACATAAATTTTAGGGGCGGTCATTCACATTGTACATGCTTCTCCATGAAAATCATCACCCCCCACTGGCCATTAATTATGAACAGTCCCTTAGGCCTGTCCCTCAGTATGTGGTATCGGGTATAACATATTGTGTCATAGGAAAAAAATAAATTAGTTTGAAAAACCTTGTAAATACTTGAATATGGCATCTTTCAATAAACATTCTTTTCAAAATTCTGTTCATGATATGAGTGTCACATTAAAATAGAGAAATCAATGTGCCACATAATCTCCACTTCCATGAGAGTGATCACTTTCATATCTATGTCTTATATACCCAGCTATCATCTGTAAGCCCTTGTTTACACAAACCTGTCTTCAGTTGAAACAGATCAATACAGCAATACAACCCACATATAGCTGATATGTATGAACAAACGTTTTCTTGTCAAGTAATTGATTTTTGTGATATGGTGAGCACTTTGTTGTCTCATGGCAGATCGAATTATGCCTTTGTGTAAACTGTGATCTTAACTGACGGAGAGGTTTTGTCTTGCACCATGGTAGCAGAGGGTTTGGTGGGATAATGTTGACTCTAGCCAAGAGACGCTACTCATCCGGGTTGATCAGGCAGTTTAATCGGGGTATCTCTTATGGCAGTGTCCCCAAGGGCAGAATGTGTCCCCCAGTTCCCTCTCAATACAAGGCTACTGGTGACTGTGTACAACCATCAAGTGATAAGAAGGAGTAGCACTCAGTTAGGCTGACAGAGGACCACCTAGATGGAGGGACAAAGGACCACCTAGGTAGACTGAAGGGGACCACCTAGATGGAGGGACAAAGGACCACCTAGGTAGACTGACGGGGACCAGCTTGATGGAGGGACAAAGGACCACCTAGGTTTTGTGGAGGACCACCTAGGTAGACTGATGGGGACCACCTAGATGGAGGGACATAGGACCACCTAGGTAGACTGACGGGGACCAGCTAGATAGGGGGACAAAAGACCACCTAGGTTGTGTGGGGGACCACCTAGGTGGAGTGATGAGGACCAGCTAGATAGGGAACAAATGACCACCTAGGTTGTGTGTGGAGGACCACCCAGATGGGCTGACAGAGGACCACCTAGGCTGGGTGTGGAGGACCACCTAGATGGGCGGACACAGAGGACCACCTAGGTTGGGTGTGGAGGAACACCTAGATGGGCTGACAGAGAACCACCTTAGTTGGATTGATGGGGACAACCTAGATGGGGAAGACAAAGAACCACCTAGGTTGTGTGATGAAGGACCACCTAGATGGGCTGACAAAGGGCCACCTAGGTTGTGTGATGGAGGACCAAGTAGGTAGACTGACAGGGCACCACCCAGATAGACTGATAGAGGACCACCTTACGGAACTGGTGGGGACCATCTGGGTGGACAAATGAGGGACCACATAGTAAAACAGATGAAATATATGGAAGTCAACTTCTGTTATATTAGGGACTATTAGATAATGTTAAGTAAAAAAAATGTATTTCTTTCCTCACCATTCTGCATGCTACCAATGTAATCCACTTCACTTGGGGGTACAGCAGAAAAACCATTGATAGGTGGCAACACTGTTTGACCTTTGAACTCTTTGTGGTGGTTGATGGGAAGACGATCAGTTTGGGTGCCATCTTGGTGTATATTGTAAGGAGGCAAACTAACATCAAGAAGGCCTGCAGAACTGAAATGGAAAATTTTGCAAATGAACTTCAAAGCCACAATATATTTATCTCAACAAGGCATTTTAAAATCTGTAACATCAATAACGTCAACTTTTGTATTCTTACTATGTGACCTTTCAGTTAATGACAGGTGCTAGTACCTGTATCAAGTACCTTTACCACACCATTTCCTGAGAAAATTCTCTTTCAATACTGATGTAAACATCATCAGTCATAACTTGGCAAATAAATAATAACACAGTTCCTTAAATAATCAGTATGAATATGACTGGGTAGGTGAATGGGTGAGTGAGTGGGTGGCTGTCAGACTCACTTTCTCCGGTAGTCTAGTCCACAGAGGGCTTCTTCTGGGCTAGGGGATTTAGTTGCAGCTGGTTTCCGTGGTGATAGAAAATAGGTTTCCTCTACAGAATAAGCTGAAAGCATACAGATAATGTAGGATGTTAGGAAATGTAGATTTTTACAGGTGATTTAGAATATGTAACACAGAATCATGACTGATCTGCCTGTGTTGGGAGACCTAGTACACCACCATACGATTGGTGTTGGGTTTAATGCCGCTTTTAGCAATATTCCAGCAACATCACGGAGGGGGACACCAGAAATGGGCTTCTCACATTGTGCCCATATGCATGTGGGGAATCGAACCCAGGCATTCGACGTGACTAGTAAACACATTAACCACCACCCCTGAATGAATATGTGTCACACTTTGTAGGGACACAAAGATAGAGACACCCTAGGTTGTGTGTGGAGGACCACCCAGATGGGCTGACAGAGAGGGGGTAAGGCTGACAGAGGACCACCTAGGTTGGGTGCAGGAGGACCACCTAGATGGGCTGACAGAGGACCACCTAGGTTGGGTGTGGAGGAGACCACCTAGATGGAAGCTGACAGAGGACAGCCACCTAGGTTGGAGTGCGGGAGGACCACCTAGATGGGCTGACAGAGGACCACCCTAGGTTGGAGTGTGGAGGACCACCTAGATGTAGGGCTGACAGAGGGACCACCTAGGTTGGAGTGACAGGAGGACCACCTAGATGGGACAGCTAGAGGACAGATGGGCTGACAGAAGAGGACCACCTAGGTTGGGTGTGGAGGACCACCTAGATGGGCTGACAGAGGACCACCTAGGTTGGGTGTGGAGGACCACCTAGATGGGCTGACAGAGAGGACCCACCTAGGTTGTAGGTGTGGAGGGACCACCTAGATGGGCTGACAGAGGGACCACCTAGGTTGGGTGTGGAGGGACCACCTAGATGGGCTGACAGAGAGGACCACCTAGGTTGGATACTAGTGTGGAGGACCACCTAGATGGGCTGACAGAGGGACCACCTAGGTTGGAGTGTGGAGGGACCACCTAGATGGGCTGACAGAGGACCACCTAGGTGGGTGTGGAGGACCCACCTAGATGGGCTAAGAGGACCACCTAGGTTGGGTGTGGAGGACCACCTAGATGGGCTGACAGAGGACCACCTAGGTTGTGTGTGGAGGACCACCTAGATGGGTACTGCAGAGGCCCACCTAGGTTGGGTGTGGAGGACCACCTAGATGGGCTGACAGAAAGGACCACCCTAGGTTGGTGTGTGGAGGACCACCTAGATGGGCTGACAGAGGGACCACCCTAGATTTGGTTGTGGAGGACCACCTAGATGGAGCTGACAGAGGACCACCTAGGTTGGTTGTGGAGGACCACCTAGATGGGCTGACAGAGAGGACCACCTAGGTTGGAGGGTGTGGGGAAGGGACCACCCACAGATGGGCTGACAGAGAGGACCACCCTAGGTGTGGGTGTGCTGAGAGGACCACCTAGATGGGCTGACAGAGAGGGACCACCTAGTTGTAGTTGAGGAGGACCACCTAGATGGGCTGACAGAGGGACCACCTAGGTTGGGTGTGGAGGGACCACCCTAGATGGGCTGACAGAGGGGACCACCTAGATGGGCTGACCTTGGGGGACCCACCTGTTGGGTGTGGAGGACCACCTAGATGGGCTGACAGAGGGACCACACCTAGGTTGGGTGTGGAGGACCACCTAGATGGGCTGACAAGTGGGGACCACCTAGGTGGGGTGTGGAGGACCACCTAGATGGGCTGACTGGGACCACAGATTACTGGGGTGACCACCTAGGTTGACAGAGGTGTGGAGGACCACCTAAGATGGGCTGACAGAGGACCACCTAGTTGGTTGTGGAGGACCACCTAGATGGGCTGACAGAGGACCACCTAGGTTGGGTGTGGAGGACCACACCTAGATGGGCTGACAGAGAGACCACCCTAGGTTGGGTGTGGAGAGGACCACCTAGATGGGCCTGACAGAGGACCACCTAGGTTGGGTGTGGAAGGACCACCTAGATGGGCTGACTGAGGAACTTCCTAGGGGTGGTGTGGAGAGACCACCAAGATGGGGCTGACAAGAGAACCACGCCTTGGATTGGATTCGATGGGGACAGCAACCCTAGATGGGAGAGACAAAGGAACCACCCTAAGGTTGTGTGGCCATGAAGGACCACTAAGATGGGCTGACAAAGGGCCAACTTCAAGGTTGTGTGATGGAGGGACCAAGTGCGGTAGACTGACAGGGCTGCACTAGATGGACGATGATAGAGGACCTGCTCTACGGAACTGGTGGGGACCATCTGGAGTGGACTACCAGAAATGGGCTTCTCACATTGTGCCCATATGCATGTGGGGAATCGAACCCAGGCATTCGGCGTGACTAGTAAACACATTAACCACCACCCCTGAATGAATATGTGTCACACTTTGTAGGGACACAAAGATAGAGACACATCTATATGAAGCAGGTATGTACTACTGTTAATCACCAAATTAATGACATTTAGCATTATTTGCTAAATGGGTTGATAGGCAGCATTTATAACACTTCTCTGGCGATTCAATTGCACAGTTATAACACTTCTCTGGCGAGTGTAATACACTCGTGTATGTAACGTTAAACTACAATTCTAATTATGTCATTTCTATTCACCTTCGTTTGTCACTGCAGCCAACACGGTATGCAGTGTATTTCATTAAGCATCTGTCTCAACTTCGGGTAATAAGGCAGCATATTTCGCTAATTTTGTTGTGGGTAGCATTTACAATTACTTGGCATAGCTTCAAGCACTTAGCTTACAGTAAGTATCCAGTGTAGCAATGCACGCGGCAGTGTATTATTACCGCATTCCATAATAGCAGCTACATCACTTCCGGAGTGATGTCACATCCGCAGTCATACTTCACGGCCGTTTCCTTTGCTGCTCCTGGCAGGTTATCCATTTTGCTTCATCTCAAATAAGTTTCCACCCACCCTTCCCTTCTACAGTGCAATATCCAGGTGGGGGGTGCTGGGCGCTGAGGTTGTTAAATGTACGGCTTATATTAAGTCTTCACTGTACAGTCCACAGTAAGTATAACCTGTACCATAACCTCTGTATTTTGCACCTTTCTTAATAAAAAGGCGGAGTGTGCATGGTGCCGACGGGACTTAACACCAAATCAGCTTATAAAATGGATACTTGGCTTCTCCTTTCACAGTGGCAGCCCAAACCTTCCTGCCTGCTGGCTCCGCGGGAAGAAGTACAAAAGTTTCCAATGCCTTAGCAGCCTGCTTTTCCTGCCTGCTGTCTCCGCGGGAGGAAGTACAAAAGTTTCCAATGCCTTAGCAGCCTGCTTTTCCTGCCTGCTGTCTCCGTGGGAGGAAGCAAACACTTGCCTATGCCTTGCCCGTCTGCTTTTCCACGGCGGAGGGCTGCAAACTGCTAAAATATATATCCGGTCCCGTCGGCGCCATCCACACTGCGCTCATTGTAATCCACACATCTGCGTTGTGTAGTCTTTCATCTGGTATATGCATTACACGCTTAAGGCCATCCCTCATCAGCCTCATCTTATCTTTATTACAAGCTAACGGTCTGCATATAATGAGTTATAAACTATTATCTGGACATTTTGGACTTTCTTTTCATGTCTAGTTCAACGCTCATCCTGAAGACAATGACATAAATTAATAACAATGTATTTGAGCACTGGATTTACGGCTTTCTCACAAAGTACCATCCTTGTCTTAAGTGTAGTCAGTTTCATGTAGAGAATATCCTGGAACAGCAATCGGGGGACTGAGTGCCTTTGTAGGAGGGTAGAACACCCAAACATCCTAAGGTAACAGAATCCATAACATCATCATGTTCAGAGGATTCCTGTAACAACACTTGTAACCTTTTACAATCTATGTTGGTTGACCTGATCTCAATGCTTTGACATGATGAGAAGTTGCTGACTTTGCAAACGGTGAACAAAATGGAACTATTAAATAGACAATGTCCTCGGGAATTCTCAAGCACTGTACCTAGTTTTGTTGTTTCATAGATGACCGATGCTGTGAGGTGACGGGCGCTGGGGCTGTAGTTGTTGGCGATGGAGTCGCTCACTTTTCGGAAATGCCTTTTCTCTTTGATTGGTGCAGCCTTTGTGAATGAGCCTCTTTCTAGAATCTTTGGTCGTTCACTAAAGGCAGGCTGTAAACAAAACAAGAAGTAGCGTATGCGCAATGGCCTTGTATATTTTGTAAAAACGATGACCAAAATAATTATATGTGACACATGTCTATTGTTTTGCTTTCACAGGATGACCCCTAGTCTATCAAGTGTCCTCTAGCTAGGTTTAGGGGTGTTGGAGTAGCCTAGTGGGTACAGTGTTAGCTTGTCACGACAAAGATACGGGTTATATTCCTGACATGGGTACAGTGTGTGGAGCCCCTTTCTGGTGTCCATCGCCATGATATTGCTGGAATTCGCTAGAAGCAACATAAAATCTCACTAAATCACTCACTCACTCAGAATGCAAATGGGAGTATCAAGTCAGATGGTGTTCAATTGGGGATGTAAACCTGAGGTAGAAAGGAG